TCGTGTTACTGGGGAGAAGCAGTATCTAGAGCAGTGCTCTGTAGCTGAACATGGTCCTAGTGCTTGTAGAATTCATACACTGTTGGATGTTATAGATCAAGTGTGATTCTGCCTGTTTTTCAGTTCCAGCTCTCTTTTTTTGTCTTCTGATTCTGCCAGCTAAAAACTGACATAAGCCCTTTCTTGATTGTTCTAGCCATTGCCACGGCCATAAACGTTGTTTCAGCCCCCAGTCATGGCGAATGCCCTACAGAACCCGTTCTGACCCTGCGATGAGGAAAGAACAGTGTAGACTGTGTTAGCCATCTCTCAAGTGCTGTTTCCTCATCCTACTGACCGGCAGTGGACAAAAGTCCTTCTGATTTCCTCACTTGTTCATCTTTACTTAGATACATGTTTTCCGATACTGCTACATTTCTGGGAGGAGTTGCGGGGGGGTGCAGACAGAACAGTGCACACTATTCTCCCTCCTGTGGTCTCCCACTTAGTGGCTCTCTACTGCTGTGACTGTCTCTGGGCGCAGGCAAATGTCTGCATGGGAGATGCACTTTTATATCTAGACATTTCACAGAGGCGTGTTGTTGGATGATTTCCACTCATCCAGTAGTGCAGTCCATTCAGAGCCTAGCTTGTTGGGAATGGGCCAGTCATTGTGGCAGGCTGATGTAGACTGGTTAGGTGTTTTTTTTTGTTTTTTTTTGTTTTTTTTTTTATTTATTTATTTTTTTATTTATTTTTTTTTTTACTTTTTAGCCCGCCTAAGGGAAAGCTGTCCTTCCTTGACATAGCTATTAATTTTAGAAATTTTACATAAGGTTAATAGTGCACTGTAAAACGAGCAAAGATCTTCAATCACTCACTCGAGCAACTAATTTTGTATGTCTAGCCAAATTCTAGCTAATTCTATTGCCTTGTTCAGCATTAAAAAGGGGCACGTATATATATATATATATATGTATGTATGTATGTATATATATATATATATATATGTATGTATGTATGTATGTATATATATATATGTATGTATGTATGTATATGTATGCTGATAAATGTGAGGATGTAGTTATAATCACAACCACTAATTTAACATCCTGTTTTTGTCTGGGTACAGGCACTGAGGCATATGTAGTCACTAGTGATGGGAATTTCCCTTCTTTTAAACTTAGTGGAGCATAGTGGTTAATGCTAGTGCCTCACACACAGGAGACTGAGGAATGATTTCAGACAAGAACACCATTGCTGTACTAAGAGGAGTACTTTGGTAAGACTACCAATGTCACATGCATCTACTGTTATGAATGGCCCTGGATAAGACCATCTGTTAAATTGTGGAATAAAATAATGTAAAAGCTGTCAATAATTTGCTTGTCTGATTTGGCTGTGGTTATGAGTAGTAAAAAAAATATATAAGTAATAAAATGATGCATTTTTGATATGTACATATTTGTTTTGAAATGTAAAATGCAAAATATATTATATATAATATAGGCCACAATAAGGTGTTAATTATTGATTATTGTTTCAGGCAAGAAGTAGTGTAGTGGTGCGTTCCTAGCAATAAATATACATTGAAATGTCTATTTGTTCAGTAATGTTGCATTTTGTTTGGTATGAAGTTTGTTTTGAATTTAATTGTTGTCAAATGACTTTTGACAAGTTTATGTATGTCAGACCATAGATGAGTAATGTAATGCTCCTTGTGATGGATGAGGAATCGTCTAATGTGCTTTGTGGAAGGCAGGACAGTATTTTTTCAGCCAGAGGGTGTTTGATTCACTTTCTCTTGAGCCAAATCATCTGTCTTTGTCCATGCAATGAAACATTGCAGGTCTCTGCCACTTCCAGTGCTCTGTTTTCAGGTGTCCTTATGGCTTAAGACTTATTTTTACAGTCTCAGCGGCCGGAAAGAGAATCAGTGTTTTAGAATAAAACTGTGGTATATATTTTTTCCCCTACATATTTTTAGGTGCCATAAGATCCAAACTTCTTACTACCTGATCTGTTTTATTCTCATTCATCTTGTGGCAGCTACCTAATTCTTCCTTTTTGAATTTTAATTTAAGATTATCTCTGAGTGTCTGAGCCTTGCTTTCACATCATGATAAGCTTTGCTGTAAAATTAACAGCAGTGAATCTGCTTCAAGGTCCTTTCCTTTGGCCCGCCTGTGTATGTAAGTCAGCTTGGCACTGGTGTGAATGGACCTGTATTTAGAGAGGCTGGAGCAGCTGCTGGAACAGTAGGCAGCACTCTGTGTTCCATCAGGACCTTACTGAGCCAAAAAGAGCCTTGGACTTCTTTGAGTGGCACAGTTTCAAGATGAGTTGATATGACTTCAGTATTGAGTCTTTTATCTAATGTTAGTTTCGCACCCTTTTGCCCCACTTTTACCGCAACTGTCCTATGTAAAGTAGTGGATAAATATTCAGGCAATATCCATTCTTCGCAGCTGCCGCTCTGATTTCAGACTTAATCATTCAGATTGTGGTGATGAGTTTATTGTAATTGAGAGGTCATGGCTTGTGTGAATAACAGAAATGCTGCATTATTCAGGCTGAGAGGATTATCAGATTACACATATGAACACCCCTCCTCACCCCACCCCCCAAAAAAGCAATATTGAACATGAAAAGATTGCCTTTGTCCTTAAGGAGTGCTTCCAGAAAAGTGTGCAACTCTCAGTTGCTTTGTCTCTTGGAGGTTTTTTGGACATGATGCACGCAGGACAGAAGCCAGTGATTATGATGAAATAGCCTGTAAAGAGGAGCTTTTGTAAAATTTGGATGTGCCAAGTATAATTTAGTAGCTAAGTGGGTTTTTATTTCTCTGTCTTTCTGCTGTTGGTGTGGAGGTGGTGGAAGGTTGCATGTGTCTGCTTACAGTCATATCTCATTTAGCTTAGTGTTTGTGTTCTTAGTGGGTGGTCATCATCCATGCAGCGCGTAGGCCTCCAAGCTCAGGCCTTATCTCTCATAAATCCTCACCTTCTTGCTTCATAGTCATGAGCACAGGTACAGTGGAGCATTAGTCATCATGTAAAGAGCAGTAAGACAGTTTTGGATTGATGTGGAGTAATCTTGTCTGGCTGTGTCTGAATATCTGCAGATACCGGTTAGGGCCTGGTAAATGTATCGGTCAGCCAATAAAATCAACTGATTATTAAGGTTCCATGTAATACACAAGGCTTTGATATTAAGGTATTTACTGCTGATTCAGCACAAGTAATGTTGCTTTATACAATATATAAAAATCAGGATTCCCAGCTCAAGCGATTAAATGACATTTATTTTCATTCACATTCATTGTAATTGAAATTGTTCCTGAAACTGGTTTCTGCAGAACATAATCTGACATTATATCCCTGTCTGGTTGTCTCCGCAGTGATGACAGTCTTGTGTTATGTTTGTGTGTGCTATGCCACATAACTTTTTTGTGTGTGTGAATGCACTTCATTGGTGTGGTTCTCTTGAACAGTTGAATAGTGTTAGATCATTATTAGGCCTGTCATGGTAATAAAATTTTAGCTGACCAATATTTGCCATAGAAAATTGCATTTGACGATTTAATTGTATTTGTTCATTCATTGTATGCAGCCCTTAAGGTACAAGCCCGGCTTGGCCAAATTGGCTGGTTTGCTATATTGCTTCCTTGATGATGATAACAATGACAGATGCAGGTAGAGCTCAGATAAACCAAATATTACTGACTGCTGCCATCAAAGTGTTCTAGCAGACGTCAAAAGTTAGATCTCTTGTTTTTGTTAGACTCATGATATGGGTTAATAAATGTGTTCTCTGATTTTTTAAAATTTGTTTAAAACTCCACACACCTAAAAAATGCACCCAATTCACATTGTTTGTTGCTATGCAGATATAAAATAGTTAAAGTTGGGATGTAAAATTGTGATCAACTTAAATCATTGCGATCATCTCATTTAAGTGGTTTGTTTTATTTTTATTAGGCCTATTCGTGAGCTTCTGTATTTTATCTTTGTTTAAAAAATACAATAATTGAGACCTGACACATCATATGAGTCAGTAAAACTATTGGAATCTGTTTAAATATTTAATTCTATAAAAATATCAGCCAATATTGTCAGTTGTTTGAATTTTTAGCATCTTGAAATCAGTATTTTTTTTTTACCAGTGACACAATTTGTTTCCATTGAGCACTAATACCAGTACCTATTAGCTGTTTACAACATTTAAGTATTAGTGTGGCTGATAATGTGAAAGACAGTAGTCGTTTTCTATAAATAAATCCTGGTAGTGTTTTCAGCTGGAGTGCCGTCAACCGGCACTGAAACTCTTAGGTGAGTGTCACGTGTAGGGCCTCGCCGGTGCTGTAGATTATTGACTGTAAACCTGATGCTAAGTGCTAGGCTCCTGTGATGAATCGCCTCTTGGAAAGCAGATGATGCTCTTTCCACGCCACTCTGAAAGCCCATCCCTCTCTGAAAGGTCAAGGCTGGTCGAGCCTGTTTAAAGTTAGTGGCCTTAGGACTGATAAACGTCTTTTCTGCACGAGACACCGCACATGTCCTCATATGGCGAGGGCTGCAGGCCGGCTTAGCCACGTCTTGGGTGCCTGCCAGGCCCCCTGCAGTGCCTCGTAAAAAAGGAGGAGGAGAAGCTTTTGTAGAGATGGGATGCTAACTTTTGCACCCTCAGTTGTTACTCAATGTGCATATTTTAGCATTTTTGCATATTGATATGGATTATTAGGACTGCTTGTAGTAAGTGTTTATTCAGAGCCTCAGGAGTACTGTGGTGCCACACAGCACACCTACATTTTGGGATTACATAGCACATCGTGTTCTTATATGGTGACAAACAAGAAGACAAACTAGTCTTGTAGAGCTTTTCAAGTTAATTAATAAATAAATCAAAAATAAATTATTATTGCTGTTTGAAAAATAAACTTGAAGCACTTGAGGAGGATGTTTACTGATTTATGGCTGTGATAATCAAGCCTCTCTTTTTCTTTCTCTCTGTCTTTTCAGTGAAGCCATTCACCACAACAGTCAAGGAGATGCGTCTCCACAGGGACGACTTTGAGATGCTCAAAGTGATAGGCAGGGGTGCCTTCGGAGAGGTAAGAAAAACTGAACTCACCTGTTCTCATAAGACTCTCCAGCTATCCCCATGTTTCTCAAGTCAGACAGCTCCCCAAGGCAAACTGCCTTCAAAAGTACAAAAATGCAGGAGAATGTTCTCTCTCATCACACTGCAATTCGTCTTGCAATGTGGTTTGTTTTGGTGTTCCTGAGTTTTGTTTTCATGACCCTTAGCAAAATTCTGCTGTATCATATTCGTTAGACAGCGCCTATGTATCCAATGAAAACCATGAGCTATCGGTGAAACAGCAAGCGGTTTTACTCTCCAGCAAAGCCCCCTTATCTACAGCCACAAGCTCGTTCCTTCCTCTCTACCTCCTTTCCCTTCTTTCTCTTTCGTCCTCCTGCTAGTTCCCCTGGGGCCCGGCCTGGCCTTACTGTGCTGTTTTTGGGCCGGGACAGATCTGGGCGTTTGAGATGGATCATTTGTTTAACTGTGGAATGTGCTGCTCAAGTCCCTTCACTACTGGCCCTGGCCTGCTCAGTCCATGTACAAAGCACATTCACTGTCTCCATCTTCTGCTCCTGAATTCTCTCTCTGGGTTTCTCTGGAACTTTATGGATAGATAGGTAGATCCGTCTTTCTCACTTGCATTTTGTTAACCTTATCCTTCTATGTCTTGTTTATTAGCTTTCCACTGAACCTTTTCTAAAATTGATGGAATAATAGATTTTTGATGCATTGCAGATTAAAATGTGCCTTGGCTGTTTAAACTGCCTCTCTGTTTCAAACTAAACTAAAGCTAAAAAAGCATCTTCTTCATGGAATTATGTCTTAAATTCTTTAACTGTTCACCCTTAAATGCCTCATGTTATGCTGGGTAAATGTTGAGCAAATGTCTCATAATCTATCATAGTGCTAAGGAAGAGGTTCTGACTGTCCTATTAGACGGTATTGGGCATTTACAAGCTTTATGCTCTGAAACAGAAAGTAGTTCTTAAATGAGCTTATGTAAGCTTTGAGGATATGGCAGCTCAGATATTAACAGTTGTCATTTAGCTAACACTTGACATGAAAAGCATTGCTCACTTTTTTTTTTTTTTAAAACAGCTAGATGGCTTGGTTTGTTTGTTTCACAGTTTGTCTTTAAACATGAGACCTCTGAACCACTATGTCTGGACTAGGGCAGCACAAAATGGACATAATGTGATGTGTAACACAAGGATAACATTACTTGAGAATTACTAAATCTGTCATATTTTATGATAGTCAGGCAGTCAGGCTATCATATATTATTATATGATAGTCTGATTGCAATTATTAAAGCTGACCACAGTTTCTTTCTAGAGTTTCTCATCTCTACATTTTTGTTGTAATATTTTAACAGAATTTGAAAATGCAAGTTGCCCTTTACAAATTTCATGCTAAACAGACAAGGTTTGACTCTGACAGTGACCATATGTTTGTCGCAACAGAATGTGAATGAATTAAATCAGGTTTTCAGCTGTTTAGATATGGTGAATATATGTAAATAAAAGGAAGATGAGATGTGTCTGTTGGTGATTTAAGAGCTGCTACGGGTTTATATGGACTTATATATTGCAGTCATCAGCTAAAATTTCATGATCACGATGGGCCAAGCAATAAATTGGAATTTCAAAATACAATGTTAGTGTAATTGACATGAATTGCAAGCATATCATAGTTTATCCAACAGTAGATATTAGTAATATTTTGCACATCTAGTGTGCATTAAGAAGAGCATCACTAACAGCTCCTTTAGGCAAATAGCAAAAATTACATAATTACTAGGGATGCATTGATACCGATACTGGTGTCAAGTACCGGGCCGGTACCATGTTCATCTACTCATTGTCATAAAAAAATCACCAATACCAACATAGCTGCTAATACAGTGCCACATCAGCTGAGTGTACACTGCTGCGCTAATAAACACACCGAAGCTTGCAGTGAAGGAGCTCTGCTCACACAATGTTACTCCGTGGAGATACAAAGTCGCTGGTAACTTTAAACATTCTGCCTTGGCACTCAAATTCAAATACATTTTTAAACACACGATCACAAGTACTTCTCCAATACGGGTGGAGACACAGAGGCCAGCCAAACAGAGACTTTTCTAACAAAATCTGTCTGTGCCGGCTTTAGACTGTTTGAATGAATATAATAGTGAGGTATAAATGTTAATACAGTGATATTTTTTTTTATTTATTTATTTTTTTTGTTATGCAAAATAGTTTATAGAAAGACCGTATTGGCCTACTTTTTACATCACTGCCTGGTTTTAGCTTCAGTGCACAGTGATAGCAGCGCTGCTCGGTCACTGTTTGCTCAGTACTTGGCGCACAGCGTGTTATTTTAAATGAAACAGGTTTATTTGAAATTGTCTGTAGACAGAGCTGTCTGTAAGGACTGCGTTTCACATATGATGGACGTGGTTTTCATGCAGTGTGAGTAAATAAATTGTAGGTTTTGTCTGCACATGATGGACTATTCAAACTTACAGTGTGAGTCACCAAAGATCAAGATTTCTAAAATGGCACAGTGTATGTCTGGCTTTAGAAGACAATCAACTAGAGCTCAACCAGCCAAGTAAAATACTCCAGCCAGACAATAAACTCAAGCATCCACTCCTCAGATTCTTTAGACTTGGATGCCTCAGCCTCGGTTGTGATTCCTGCTGTCACTGTGCTACAGAGACTGATGTTGAAAGACACAGATGAGGAGCAAAACTACAGCCGTACAGATGCGCTTTTCTGACTTGGAACAAAACATCTACACTGCAGCGCTACTTAATCTAGGGTAGCTTTAAACAATATAGTATAGCTAGCTAATGCACTTCATTTAGAGTCAGCTAAATCATTTATCTGTTTAGGTTGCTCTCATTTACACTAATAACTACTTAATTCTACATAGGTTGCTGAGTATGGTATCAGACTCGGTATTGGTTGAAAAACTAAAAATATGTACATGTACTTGGTGTGGGAAAAAAAAGGTATTGGTGTGTCCCTAATCGCTATTCACTATGATGCATAGTGCAAAATAAAAATGAGATACAGTTTCTTACAGCACAAAAAGCAAATAAATGTAGCCCTTTGATGAAGGATGGTTTGGGAGTGGTATTGTTAGGATTCATGCAGTATGGAGCTTGTTAACTGATCTGTTTGTTGTATTCAACCAGATCAGTAATCATTGTGTGCAGCTAATTAACTCTGCTTTCAACCCCTTAAAATATCTGTCACATAATCTCCAGATACAAGTATAACAGTACAAGACACACATTATAGCAGCTGTGTTTGAGCTGTGTGTTTGTTTAGTGAAGACTTGTTGATTCAGAACACTTCAGTACTGAGTTTCCCGTCCTACAATGAAGACAGGGGTGCCAATAGTGGCAAAGGAAGCAGAGCAGGACGGTGTAGCTTCCAGGAAGGGTTCAGGAAATGAAGTCTGTCTCAGAGGAGAGACTGTTACAAAAATAGTGTTTCCCTCCTCAGAAAATGTACGGAGAAGCACACAGCTCTTCAAACCTTGCTAAGCATCCCCTTCAGACACAGAAACTATTCATCCATGGTAGATATATTTGGTTTTGGTTTTAGCCACATCACATTTTTAAAAGTAAATTTATCCTGACTCTTTAGTCTTTGTTTGGTGTGTTAAGGCATATAAATTAGGTCCAAGCTGGTAATCAGTAGTATATAGACAAAAAAGTATTTTATGTATGCATTTGACCTAGTATGTAAACATTGTTAAAGTTTCAAAATGTAACTTCAGCTCTTCAGTCCATACAGTTCATATATTTTAAAAAGATCTATTTTGAATTCACTGTTTTTATGATGTTACCAAACCAAACACACACATCCGCCTGTTCAGTTTACTGTACTATAGCTCCGCTTGCTCATGCTGAAGTTAGAAGGAGACTGTTTTTTGAATGACGCAGCCAAACGGAATAGACATAATTTACATATACCAGTCTTGAAAGCATAATAGTAAAAACAGCTGCTGGTAAAGTGCAATATCTTGAAATGCATAATCCAAAATACTGATAGCGGAACTAATTACATTAGCACAGATGTCTGAAGGAAGAATGGATAGAGTATGCTGACTTTTCCCATATGAGATATACAAATTTTTATAAATTCAGCATGCTGGAGCAATTTATAACTGATTTATACTAAACCAAGAGCAGTGAGGGAAAAGCTTATTATTATAAAATATTGCACTTCTATAATATTGAACACTTTAAACTGAAAATGTTAACATTAACATTTTAATATAAGGTAAATTTTCAGCCACACCTTAAATTTAACAGTATGGGGGGAAAAAAGTCAAATCAAACACCATTGTATCGTATTGAACAGAGCTGTGAATTTTGTGAATTGTCACACCCCTAAAACATACCGATGTAAAAGGGAACAAAAAACAGTAGACATTCTTTTGTGTAGCCACCATGTAAATGTTTTTTCTCAACATTACATCAGTTCTGTTTCACTACCACGTGACTGGAATTTTACCCATTTGTCAAGCAAATGGAATCATTTCCGGATACCATGACTGGAACAGAAATTTCCTGTTATCCAAAACGTTTTTACTCCGTTGCATCTCTCATGCTATTTATTTGTTAGCTCCGTTTATAGTATTGTTTTGGGGTGTTGGGTTTATGAATGTGTGAGAGAGTGAGAGAGAATGTGAGGCATGGCTTCATGTGTTCCCACTCCCAGTCGTTTCCTCTAGCCCAGGCGTTACAGGATGCATTTCCAGATAAGTCACAGCATTTCCTGTTTATGATTGATGGCTGTATCCCCTCTGAACGCCTGCTGCATGACTGGCTTTTATGGTACACCAGGTTCCTCAGACTGAGCCGTGCACTTCAATGGCTGCCAAAATGTACACTCCCTCTACCTCCCCTGAAACTTGCTCTGAATAACTCTCCACTTTAGTAGAGTAGAGTGGAGAGGGAGGGACATAAAATTAGGATAACTTTATGCAGTTTCTTCCATTTTTTTTGCACGGTTATACTATAAGGTTGACTTTACGTTTGCGACCTAAATATTAAGTTAGACCACGTTATTGAGCCTCAGTGTGACATTAATATATAAACCTGCAAAATTCGAACAGACACCTCTGATTTGGTTATTATTATTTCAGGCTTTCGCAGCAGTGCACAGACCTCACATTGTAGTGTTCTTATTTTTGTCCTGACTCAGTAACGCTGCTTCTTTTAGTTTTAACAAAAATATTATGTAGTGCTGCTTTAAAGGGAATGTTATCACTTTCCTTCATTCTAAAATGAGGAGTGAAATGTCTTCCAGTCATTATTAATTTTAAAATATTTGTCTTTGTCTATCAGGTTTGTACAGTGAATAATGTATCTCCTCGATGACATAGTCAGAGAGTACAGTACATCCAACCATGAATTAAGGATGGGCAATATGACGATATTTATCGTTATCATGTTAAATTGTCACGCTATATCTCAGTATGCTTTTCTGAACATACCATGCATATCGTCAGTACTTAAAGAAAACGGATGAACTGTATGTTTCTTTACAAACAGAACATAATCCTCTTTAGTTGTGCAGCATTATTCGCAGTTTTTTATAGTTATTTTTAAATGTCACACTACTGGGGATTTTTTCTGTTCCAACCCATCTAACCTCAGCAAAACAAATATTGTGATTAATATAGCGTATTGTGAAAATGTCTTGAATTATTATAATGTGTTTTTTTTACCATATTGCCCAACTTGGAGCAGTGAGATCAAGATCAGTGCACACTGTGTGGTTTTGTGACTGATAGAAAGTCATTCCATTTTCTGCAGAACTTTATCAACAGTTCTTTTCAGTGTGGTGTAAGCAATTCCTGTTCATCTCAGTAATATAGAGGTGTTGAGTTTTTCCTCACTCATGCAATAAACCAACACTTAGCATTTCTAAATGACCGCTCTAGAGTCTTTGATCCTTCAGGCAGTCATTGCGTATATGATCTCTGCCTCGTGTGGGAGTGCGCCAGTGACTTGTCCAATCATGCAGCAGCGTGAAAGGACTCTGGCCACCCGCCTTCCCTGCATGTACCTCCCCGCCTTTCCAATCAGGTCAGGCCGACTGCCTGTGTCGAAATCTGTGTCTAAAAAAGGAGAGATGGAAAGAGGACGAGAGACACTCTGGGAGGAGGAATTGAGGGGATTCTAAGCACATTGGGTTTGGTTTGTTTTTGTAATGAGGTCAGTTATCTGGTGTGGATAGGAGTCTGCTTGATAAGGAGTTTGTCTTTGATTGAACCTCTGTTTTCAGTGTGTACCTTTCACATACTTTCCCCGTGACTTCTCATTTCTGTGTTTCAACCTGTTTGGTGTGTGCGTTAGTCATAGATCCCTTTAGAGTGTTTATCTTGAGGGTGCAAGTCTCAGTTTGCCCTCATATTCTTTGCTGAGGCAGCACATAGTGCTACGACCAGTTGTGTGTGAGATTGGTTCTTCACTAGTGCTTACTTTGGGTAAACATGTCATGTGATCTCTGTAGTACAGAGTACAGAGAAACTAAACTAGCTTACTGGACCACCGCAAGCAGCTTGTGAACACCTTGCGCCATGCCTGAGGTCATCCAGGCCAATGTTTTTAGTATATGTAGTCAGAAAGTATCGCAATATGCCACCTTTTACATAAGTCTTCAAACCATGCCATGTAATCCAGTGACCATTTTGAAAAGTCATGGCTTTTCAGTGTTGCTTCCTGCCTTTTGTTAATCCATATCCTTAGCAACCAGAAGCTGTTCATTTTGTTGTTTTTGAGGCATCATTATCATCATGCCGTCACTCATAGCAGACGTCCTTAATCCCCCTCCCTGACATGTCCTCTTTCAAGCAGGGTGTCTCCCTCTCCACCCCAAGCAAACATCTCTGCTCTCCTCCCTGTCCCTTCCCTTCTTGCACTTACTCACTGCTCTCTAGAGGAAGAACTTGGTCACCTTCACACACTCATTGTGCTGTTCACATTAGGAATGAGACAGTTTTGACATTTCCTTGCGTGATACCAATGACCAAATTCATCATGGTTTTCAATATCACTAAAATATACTAATTTTCTAAGCTCTAAAACAAACTTTGCCACAGATATTGTAGCAATAGATGTTTAATTAACTTTTTATTGAATACATTTGTCAATCACTTCACATCTGTAATTTTTTCTACTTTAAAGCATTAAGATCATCACTGGCTTTTTATTTCATGATATTAAAGTCATTTTTACTCAAGCAGCCTTCATTAGTCAGCAATTAAGTGTTAACAGACAAGCCTAAAATCATGGACATGGCCTTCCAGAATATTTATTCCAAAACTGATAGTTCTGGTTCTGAAGTCTGATTTGGCTGAGCCATGTTCATATCCATTGTGAAACACTTGAATGATCGATTCTAATGAGTGAACAGCAACTGACTTATGCATTGAAGTACCGGGATATTAGTGTTCCTTGTGTGGACCCTGGAATGTAGTTCTGATGCATGGGACCAGGTATTAGCATGTATATGAAGTAAACATACCTTACGTAAGAATCTGCTTTTGTTTGAACTGAGGAGCTAAGAACTATTTTATGGTCATGATTATATGACCAAAAACTAAAAAGGTGCTGAAATGACTGGAATGTAATTTTATAATAATTGTGCACACCTTTGTGTAATTTCCTCACACCACCTAAGAACATAGACAAAATAGTTGCTCTTGCGGATGTTTGTTTTTCGGGATGGTATATTGTTGTAATGGTGCTGTCATCCTTTGAAAGAGTGATAGTTCTGCGCATAGCTATATATATTTTGGGTTATTTGGGTATTTTTCTTGGGTTGACCTCTCTAGCCTAACCAGTTGCCTGTTGCATTCTCATGCGTACAATTCAAAAACATTCCTGAACTTGAATGACAAACCTGCCTGCTCAAATAGGAACTGATTATTAAAATAATAACAATAATGCATAGTTGTTAGATAATGCTTAGATCGTAGATAGTCTTTTACATCCCTGTGTGGTATTTAATTATATCCAGTAACTTTTACTTCCCTAGCTGACATGTTTGTCTGCTACAGGCTCAAGTGGTCATGTGTTAAATTCTCTTCTTAATTTCAAGATAATTACTGACAGACTGTCTGACACCCCTTTTCAGAGTCATCTCAGATCAAAAACCTCCTTTTGGAAAATGCTTTTCCCAAGGGACCATAACCTAAGTAGGGCAAGTGTAAATAAGATGAATAAATGAAGAGAAATCATGCTGAGCTCTTTCTAGACCTGCAACATCTCTGCATTTCAGTTGCTTTTTATCTTTTCTTTAGGTTGCCGTCGTGAAGATGAAGAACACGGAGCGAGTTTATGCCATGAAAATTCTGAACAAGTGGGAGATGCTGAAGAGGGCTGAGGTAAAGATCTTTCTACTGTTCATTTAGAGTGGGATCTCTCATGGACAAAACAGCTTCCATAAACCATTCCCACATGGACTTGCCTTGCCTCTCGTAGTATGGTTGAAGCACCACCTTTTTTAGATACAGACCTTAATGCCGTTGTAGCTGCTTTGCTCTATGAAATTACTGAAGGGGGATTTTCCTTGAGACCGGTGACTAGGATCAAACCTGTGCAGTGAAGGCTGTGATGGAGATGGGGGCCATTTTCTTTTCTGCTCCATCTTGACCCAGTTTTTACACAATGAGCTCTGACAGTGGCCTCAGGCCTCCCAGAGCTGTGTCAGGAGAGCTTTTGTCAGTGCGGCTGGTCAGTAATCCCATGCTGAACAACACCAGGCCTTCTTCGTGTCTGTCTTAATATAGTACATTAGCAGCTATTAGATCATCAGAGGAAGGTGTAAAGCAAAGGACTACAATGGAACGCCAGAGGTCTGAGGATGTAAGACCACGTGTCCTCACTATGAAAAAGAGTGAGGCTTGAATTATCTTGTTAAATGGGGAAAAACCAGTTATCCTTATTTCCAGAAGATTTAGTTGCAACACTTTTGTACAAAATTTCAGGAAACACAGAATCACTTTGCAGAATGTATAAAGTACATGCTTGCTTTGTATTAATGACATTTTCTTTTTCTTTGTCTTCTGTAGACTGCCTGCTTCAGAGAGGAGAGAGATGTTTTGGTGAATGGAGACTGCCAGTGGATAACCACCCTGCATTATGCCTTTCAGGATGATAACTACCTGGTGAACATCTTTATCTCTGTCTGATTATTTGGTGAAGTAAAATGATTAAAATGTCCATTTAATAATTAAAAACTCTGCTGTAGTGCTGCACAAACCATAATATACATAAATAATATTCTCTTGCAACTTGACTAACAGTTCTGTGCTCTGTGATATGCTCTTTAGTACCTGGTGATGGACTACTATGTGGGCGGGGATCTGCTAACACTACTCAGCAAGTTTGAGGACCGACTACCTGAGGACATGGCCAAGTTCTATGTGGCAGAGATGGTCCTTGCCATTCACTCAATCCACCAGCAGCACTACGTGCACAGGTAAAATAGGTGTCTGTGTGTGAGAGAGAAAAAAAAAAAAACAAGCACAATAAACATGAGCAGATCAGTTGCTTGTAAAACCAAATTTCCTGTACTTAAGACTGTGTTCAGTGTTGGTATGTTTGAAATACGGATTCCTATACCACTGACGATTCCTTGAAAAGCTTTCAATTCCTAAAAGTTTCTAAAACTACTTTAGTGATCCTGAAACTCAAACTCAAAACGCGTGAAGCAACCAGGTGTAAACGGATCTTAGATATGCTTGTCTAGTTTTAAACAATACGTTTTTAAATAATATTTTTTAATACAAATTTCAAACCATGGGGCTCAGTTTGTTCAAATTTTGTTTCATATATATATATATATATATATATACACATATACATATATAGCTTTATCTTATTTTCACTTAATCACAGAATTACGACAGGGTAGTAAAATGGCTGCAGATGGGCCTGGTCTGTTTAGGCTGAATACTTTCTTCCTGCCAGTGCTACTATGTGGTGATGACCTGTACTGGGCTGCTGTCTGACCCAGCTGAGCCCCTTTCCTTCCTAATCCAAAGGGGCTTGACAGCTTCCTGCAGTTTCCCTCTGACACACTAGCAGTACCACGTTCATTCCTAGAGCTAGTGACAACCTTTTTTGAACAACTCCTGCTATCATATTTCAGGGCATGGCATACAGAACAGATTTAGTCACAGAGGTCTTGTTGTACACTTGATGCTAAATGATTTCCTGTTTATAAAAAAATGTTTTATGTGTGTCTGATAGTTAGGTGTGGATGGCGGTAGTTGTTTGTATGTGTGTGTGTGTGAGTCTGTTTGTCTGTCTGTGTATTTATGTGTTGAATTTTGACACCATGTTTACACCATGCCCGCTGTGCCCAGCACGGTGCCAACACTGTGAAGCAGAGGGCGCGCTGTGTGTGGCCCTAGTCCAGTAAAGAAAAAGTGAGAGCTGGGGAAGGATGAACAATGCCAGGCTGTTCAGTGCAGCAAGCAGGGCACTGGCAGGCATGGAACAAGTCGCCCTGCAGAGCCCTGGGGAGGGAAGGGGTGGGTAATCACGTGGGTGTGCTCTCAAGACATGATCACCTTAGAATTTAAAGAAACATTTTTTTATGTGGTAGGCAGATATAAAATCTGCACTGATCACTCAGGCCAACAAGCCAGTGAATCTCCAAAAGTGAGGATTTGGCAGGTTAACAGTAGTCCAGAAAAAACTCACCACACCTAAGAAAAAGCTGTCTAAACTATTGTTTTGTAGGCTATACAAAATTAAACTGGATTTAATTCAGAAAAGGCCTGCACACTAATCAAGTGCTGCTTTGAAAAAAGAAACCCCTCCTTTAGAACTGAAAGTAAGGCATAGTTTTCAGGATTTTATCAAGTTGGCTTCTTTGTGCTGCAGTAAGTCTCTCTCTGTCTTTCTCTTACAGGGACATAAAGCCTGATAATGTGCTGCTTGACATGAATGGCCATATCCGCCTGGCTGACTTTGGTTCTTGCCTGAGGATGATGCAGGATGGCACGGTGAGTGAGAGACAGACATAGTGTGAATAGTCCCACCCTTCTCTAAAACAGAGCCCGTAGGCCTTTCATCGTCCATACAGCAGGTGATCTGCATGAGTGTGGTGAAAGGGCTCCCTCTGCATTAATCACTATGCCCCTGACAGTGATGGAGCTAATTTTGACCCTGGGTCAGTGGAGGAGGGGCCCTGTCAGCAATCACAGTTAATTTCATAGTCTTACCATTCTCCATGTTGCACTTAGAACTATAACGTATAGTCAAAACTCAGCATTTTAGCTTAGTCTAGTCTTATATTTAGCATAGAATTCACTTAGCAACAATGGGGATTTTATCCTGTGAATGTTCTGTGTTTTTCGTCACATTGACAGATTTATCTTTATCTCTTCCGGCTCCTAGCAGATTTATCTCCCCATGATTAGAAGCAAAAGTCATTGCAGTTGTGTTGTTCTGTGTGTTGTCCTGGGTTGAGCTGATTCTATCAGTTCTGATTGGATCAGTTTCAAAGTTTCCTTCCTCTTGTACTTTACCACTCCAGCTGCATAGATTGGTGATTTAAAGGCTTTGAGGCAAGATTAGCTTTCATCACAGCATTCCATGTGATTCTCTCTCTCTTTTGTGCTGAGTCTTTATAAACCTGCACATAGTACAAGTTTGCTCTTTATCCGCATTAGTTCTCTTTTTGGTTAGGGTCATCTGTTGTTGTGCCAGGAGGTCCTTTTTTCCATCATTTATTTTCGTAAACAGCACAACTCAGATTAAAAGGAAACCCAGGAGGCAGCTTGTGTCCTAGGCTGACAGTAGTTTCAGTGTGTGTGAGTCACTCAAGCATTCAGTAGTGTGACAGTGACATAATAGTATGGAGTGGTGACAGGCCATGCTGGGCAGCTGAAGGAGAAGTGACAGGTTAAGCAGCAACAGCCCATCACACATAACCGAAAGCTAATTCCTTGTTAAGAACTGGGGCAAAAACAAAAAAAAAGTTGTCTCCTTACCTCTCCCCAGTGCTCTTGACTATTATTTTTGCAGTGTTGTTCCTTGGTTGTGTAACTAATTTTCAATGTTATCTGTCTGTAAAACAGATTACCTTTTACCAAGGTATCTCGCCCAATTGACCAAAGGCTAAAAGATTTTTAATATCAGATGTGTGCAATATTTTTTCTAAGACTCCTAGTATACATTAGATCAGTGCCATCCTTAGCTTGAGCCTTTGTACGTCCTGCCTCATCATCAGCCACTTAGAGTTAGGCACAACTGAAGATGAGGTAATGAACAAAAACATCTGCACTTCACCCGGCATGGGCTCTTTATTCTTTGACTGAGCTAACTGCTGTGTTGTGATACAGCTGATATGTAAGGAGTAAAGGTCTTTTTTGTCCAGTGAAGCAGTTCCCACTACAGTGTTTATGGCCCAGTGCCTTTTCTGCTCTTTTATTTTTGCATTATTATTCTTTTGTGCTCCCTGTGCTGCTTTTTTTCCACAGATTTTTCACTTGGGAAAATTAACCTACAGTTAGGCCGGTTTAATGGCCTGTTCTGTTTTTGTCTTGTGTCATTGCATTGATTGAACCTCTCCCTCAGTTTCTTCATGAAATTCTGTTGTCCTGGAGATTATATCTGTTAATCATTCAGTCTTTTTTGTGTTTTGTGTAATTCTTTTTTTTAAAAGCTTACCTGACAATTATGTATTCTTTATAAGCTTGGCTTGTATTTTTGTCTGTATTATAAATGTTTCTGATTGTTTTCTTGTTGTTTCTGTACTTCCCTTGTACAGGTCCAATCATCAGTAGCCGTAGGAACTCCAGATTACATCTCTCCAGAGATCCTGCAAGCAATGGAGGATGGAATGGGGAAATACGGCCCGGAGTGTGATTGGTGGTCTCTGGGTGTGTGCATGTATGAGATGCTGTATGGGGAGACCCCCTTCTACGCTGAGTCTCTGGTTGAGACCTATGGCAAGATCATGAACCATGAGGTGAGAGCTGTTAGAGGTCTGAACATCACTGTAATTGGCCTCATCTCAATGAATGCCATCTCAGTGATTCTACATCATGTTATGATTTTCTGCTCTGTGCTGCGTCGTACTGAGCAAATGTCCCACCCCACTTAAGTAAATGTGTACACACACAGAGCCTTCATATTTTCACTGTCACAGCTGCCATTTCGCATACAGTACAGGAAAGTGTAAAACAGCAATGTGATGTCATGTATCAAAAACATCTGTGTTAAGACTTTTGTCACACCGATTTGACTTTGACATTGCAGTCCAACTAGTAAGATAATTAAATAGCTGGTAAATATGATGTTTGGCAAACATATTTTATTATTACTATTTTCAAGCTCAGTAGTTTAAGGCTATTAGCAATACCAAACTTAGCTAACAGCTTTTCTGATAATTCTCCCCAAACACTGTAACATTCTTGCATTTTGTATTTGAATATTTAAAGGTGATGCTTGTCATTGTACCTGACATCAGAGGAATTATGAAATCTGATATGTATGCAGAGAGTGGGAATTACACTTGCACTTGCTGTTACTCCTCCCTCCCTGTATGTTTAGCAATCAGTCGCTTTTGTATTTAGGAAAACGAATGTGGTCGTTAGATCATAACAAGCAAGCAAGATTTGGATGGAATTTGCATGGGCACAATGGAGCATGCGCTACGGAGTGCTGCTTCAAGGCAAGCGTGCCTGCTGTATCGCATTTCTTCATGTCTGTTTATGTGGGCCGACTCACAGCAACCACTGCTTTTCTTTTATAATGAAGTCTGAAAAGCAAGATAGATTTCGTAAAGGATGTGGTTAAATGATAAGCACAGCTTCAGATTGCAGATAAAGCTGTTATGTAAACTACTGCTAAAGCGTAGAACCTTACATACCTTTTTTAACATTCCGAAAGTAGCTGTACCCATATCTTATCCAAGCCTGAACAGTTTATCGTTTATATATCAAAATCGCAGCTGGAAGAATGCCATTTTCATATTGCAAGTGCTGAAATTTTAATCATATCTTTTAATATTGTGTTTTCTTAAAAAGTATTAAGTGTGGAATTTTAAGCTAAAAGTGCAGAGTTTGTGAACTGGCAGTCTGGCACACTACATTCAGTATTTAAGCAGAGAAGTCAGAAAAAAGTATGTGCTGGTCTGGCAAAAAAAGGCCTGCAGCTTAATTTATAGACAATAATAGCTCAAATTTAAATAATAGCACAAATTTAGATTTAAATCACAATATTGATAGGAAAATTTGCAGTTAGATGTTTTCCCCAAATCGTTTGGCCCTAATCTTATTCCATGTTGTAAACAGAAATGCCACTGTTTCCTTAAATAACCCAGGATATGGCTCATGCGAATCTAGTTTCTTTTGGTTGTTTCTTTTTACTTAATTGACAGATATTCAAATTGTAATCATTTACAGACCCCCAAGATACTCTGCAAATTTCATTGACGACTTTGCTGAACTACTATCAGTTATCTCCTTTGATTTAAATTTTTTTTAATCATAACTGGTGATTTTAACATCTACATAAACAATGAGGACAATAATGCCACATAACATTTTGCCTAATTTGACACTTTCTCTTGCAACCATAAGTGCAGAGTCTGTTGATGATTTCTAATGTGATGGATGTTGTTGCACCAATAAAAGTCAAAGAGATCTCTGAACAAACGGAAAACACCGTGGAAAAACACCATGATGGTAAAAGCCCTGAAAAGAGAAGGCAGGAACCTAAGTGGAAGAAAACTAAACTTGAAATCCACTATGACATCTATAAACAAAGCTTTTGTACTTTTAACCTTGGGTTATGCAGGACTAAACAGTTTTGATTATCAAACACAATCAACAGAAACATCAACAATACCCACACTCTATTTATCACAGTTAACAAGCTTACTAACCCCCCCAAAAAAAATAATCACAGAGCTCCTTTCCACAGAGCAATGCAATAAATTTGCTTGTTTGTTCGGTTCAAAATCAAAACTACTCCATTGACCATCAGTACCACACACTCAGATAATGTATCGATGCAGTCTTTACAACCGCCTTGAAATAACTTGATTATTACATCATAGTTTAACACAATTGACCAAAAACTCTAGAGGAAAATGTTCAGCACTTTAAATCATTGTCATGTTCTCTCAAAACACTACCATCTGACATTTTACTGCTTTTAACTCTGTAGCAAGTGATTTGCACAAATGTTTAATGATTAGCTGCTATCAGGCATTTTCCCAAAGTCACTAAAAACAGCTAACATTAAGCCACTCAGAAAAAAGAGAACTCTTTATGCCTCTGTATCGAACAACTACAGACCTTTCAAGTCCTCCTTTTATAGCTAAGATAATTTAGGTTGTTTTTAATTAATTTAGCAATTATTTTAACTTACAGGGTTATTTTAACAAATTTTAATAAGACTTTCAAAATCATCGCTGTACTGAAACTTTCCTTATCAAAGTGTTAAGATACACGGCTGAATACTGACTCGGGTAAAATATCACTTCTGATATTATGAGATCTTAGTGCTACATTCAACACTGTAGATCATGTAATACTTCTGGACAGGTTATGAAAAGCAGATTGCCTTTGTGTATGAAATATGCTATTTAAATAAACCTCCTTGCTTGAGATCTACTTTAGATCTCCTTGCTTTAGATTCATCTACTAGTGATGGCAAAATCTAGGACTAGACTTGGATACAATATTCAGATATAAAAAATGCTACTTGTATTAACCAGTAGCAGGTGAGACAAAACTGGGTGTTATGTTCATTTTTTCTTTTTTATCTTTTCCAGTTTTCATGTGTCTTATTGCAGTATTTAATACGTATGCAGAATCAGATGAACACACCAAAGTGAAGACTTTATTCTGAGCTGCTGATGACAAATGTTTCACACTATCACAACCTTGTTCTTCTTCTCCAGGAGCGCTTCCAGTTCCCATCTCACATCACTGACGTGTCTGAGGATGCCAAAGACCTGATCCAGCGGCTGATCTGCAGCAGGGAGCGCAGGCTAGGCCAGAACGGCATTGAGGAGTTTAAAAAGCACCCTTTTTTCTCTGGCATCGACTGGGAGAACATTCGTAGCACAGAAGCTCCTTATATTCCTGACGTCAGCTCTCCATCTGACACCTCCAACTTCGATGTGGATGATGATGTCTTGAAAAACCCTGTAAGTGTTTCTCTCTCTCTCTCTCTCTGCACCTGCGTAATCTACGTTTCTCAGCTCTCTTCAGGATTTGAGCTAAAAGCATTGCCTTACTTTTCAACATTGCGTAATGATTCAATGATCTTGTTACACTGGAGTTGTGAAATTGTGGTCAAAGCACGAGGATAGCCCAACAAACTTCTGTTGAAGTCTGAACCAAATCCAGTCCACATTTCCCGTGATTGCGTCTGCTATGTTACCTCATAGCATAGCAACAGTGACAGCTGCCGTCAGATCATCACTAAACATGAAAAATAGTCTGATGTTCAGCTATCCAAACATTAGGTGAAATTTCACTTTAAGGAGTTTATTAATGAATACATTTTGAACAAAATCACAAGTTTTTAGTCTCGATATAGTTTATATAATGTGCTGTTCACATGCTGGCCTCAGACCTCAGTTGATGTTGCTGCCTGCAACACGAATGACTCCAGTGTTTCAAATTAAGTGTTTAGGGTAAAGAAGGCCGAAGAAAATCTAAAGCAGGGGTAAATGCATATCAGAGGCTATTAAAAGTGGCAGGTGAACAATGACAAACTATAATATGAAATATTTCAGAACTAATTTGCACAGAATCAAGCCTGCTATCTGTGTTTTTATGTATACTTTTTTGCTTTTCACAACTTTAGCAGGCCTTGTCTTGGTTGTGTGGCATAGTTCTCCAAGTAACCTTTAAGTCTGTCTACTCCATGCAGGACATCGCGCCTCCCATCTCTCACACTGGCTTTACGGGACAGCACCTACCCTTTGTGGGCTTTACCTATACCACGGAGAGCTGTTTCTCAGACGGGGGCTCTCTGAGGCTAACGGCGCTGGCTGACAGCAGCTCAGGAGAGCTGCTACGGCGCGATGAGGATGGAGGTCTGCAGCTGGAAGCTTTCGAAAGGAGGATCCGCTCCTTGGAGCAAGAAAAACAGGAGCTCAATCGCAAGTTACAGGGTACACAAAGCTGCACCTTGATTCATAGATTTAAAAGAGGGTCACATGTCGAAAACTTGAGCTGATGCATGCTAACTCTCACTTGTTAGATTTGTTGTCGGTTTACCATTTTCAATCTTGGAAAGACTAAGAGGAAATTTGTCTTCTAGCCTTTGATTTTCGCCCAGTTCCTGTGGCTGTTAAAATATTGTTGTAACCATCTTCTCTACATTTTCACAGAATCCACTCAGGCTGCGCAGTCCCTCCATGGCTCCAGTCGTGGGGCAGGCACATTGGGCCGTGATAAAGAGATAAAAAAGCTCAATGAGGAGATTGATCGCCTAAAGAAGAAACTAGCAGGTGAGCAGCAACATCCTACCCTCGCTTGTAAAACAGAACAAGATAATGGAAAACATCACAGTGACAGAGTAGCAGGTCAGGTGTCACACACACATTTATCACCGATGACTACAGAGATTAAACTTTCTTAATCATCAAGGAAATTGACACATTCTTGGAAAATCCTTGAAAGCATTGTTCCTGTAATGATCATCTGTAGTAATCATCATGTTCCTGAATCAGAAGTTCTTATTTAGTTATGAAGCTGTGCTGTGGTAGTTTTTTTAGCATCCAGTCAGTGATTACTCATTCTGCTGGGTGCGTGTTTCTCTCAGACTCTGATAGGCTGGAGCACCAGCTGGAGGAAGCAGTGACTCTGCGGCAAGACTACGAGAGCTCTTCCACCAAGCTGAAGGCTCTGGACAAGCAGGTCAAAGCTCTACGGCAGGAAAAGGAAGACATCCATAAGGTAGTGAAGCCTTTGGGCTCAGGCCACCAGTGCTTGAAACGTGGTACTTCATAACATATAAATGTACTCACAAGCTCAAAATATTTTTCTTTGTTACATTTGAGCAACATATTTGTCATTATGTAATGTGAAGTTAGATCTACAACAGGTTGCTTCATTAGTCAACAAATAAACCATATTTCACGAAGTTTATTTTAAAGAGGAAAAACTTTACAGGAGGCACTGTTTTTAAACAAATAAGGGAGAAAAATCTGGGGAGGCGCACTGTAAATTAGCAGTGAATCTCTTCATGTAGGCATGACTTAACAAAGTGAGTCTTTCCATCGCTCACTCCTTCCACTCTAAGATACCATTGTGTTCTTTCCATGTGACACAAATGGATTGTCGTCATTCATGCAGCTGTCGGAGCATAGGCACGAAATCGTTTCTCTTTAGCGCCTGTTCTGCCCTAAGCCCTCCTACCCTCTCTGTTTCACCCATATCATGACCCTTTGTCTCATTCCATCCTAGTGTTTATACACACTGGACCACTTCATCATGATTAATGCCATCATTCCCTCACTTAAGCAGAGGCAGAGCTTTTTACCAACCCATTGCATTTCTGCCTAATTGAATTTGTCCTGCTCCTCCACTCGAATCTTGACCCTGAGCTCTTAGTAACCCTAATGTTATCCAAGTTATCCATGGCTGTCGGCGTGATTTGACAGATAGGCCTGTTAAAGTCTGTATTTTCAACTAAACACATTGTATTAATAAGATATTTGAATGTCCCTTGTCTTTGATAGCAAAGCTGCAATAGAAGGATAGATGATGTCTTCATCGGCTTTAGCATGTCCTTCTCTTTTAGCGTAGTGCTCCCAATTCTCTTGACAATTTCTATTTCTCACTCAGCCTCTTTTTCAGTCCTCTCTCTGAGACCGCCACGGCTGCTTTCTTTTTCCTCTCGTTCTGTCTCTTACACACACGTCTCTTTCTCTGTTACCTTTTTCCTCCTGTTAATATCACTGTTCTCTTTCTCTCCATCACCTGTCTCCTATTCTTATCTTTTTCTCTTTTCCCCCCCTCTCTTTTGTCCCTCTTCTGCATCTGCATCCGCAGCAACTGGTGGAGTCACTGGATCGTCTGAAATCTCAAACGAAGGAGCTGAAGGACGCCCACCAGCAGAGGAAGCTGGCCATGCAAGAGTTCTCAGAGCTAAACGAGCGCATGGCCGAGCTGCGGTCGCAGAAGCAGAGGCTCTCACGACAGCTCCGCGACAAGGAGGAGGAGATGGATGTGGTCATGCAGAAGATCGACGCCATGCGCCAGGACATTCGCAAGACTGAGAAGGCCCGCAAAGAGGTGAGGACAGAGTTTTGTGTGTGTGTGTGTGTGTGTGTGTGTGTGTGTGTGTGTGTGTGTGTGTGTGAGAGAGAGAGAGAGAGAGCGAGAGAGAGAGAGAGAGAGAGAGAGAGAGAGAGAGAGAGAATGTGTGCACGTGTGGCTGTGTGTGAAGTATAGAGTTGGGTATCATTTGATATTTGCTAATTGTAATACCACTGACCTTAACTTTCCTAATAAGCTCCAAAACTGATATTTAGTCCAAAATAAATGACCTAAGCTTCTTTCAACATAAATTTAAAGTTCATCACAAAGGTTGTTGGCAAACAGTTAGCAAGCTGCATTGTCATTAAGAGCAACTGCCTGGTCATTATTTTGACCAGACGCAATGACTGTTTTGCTACTTGCAGTGTGCTCCTATGATAATGTTTTTGTTCAAAATTAATAAATATTTACTAGGGTTGTCAAAAGATTTAAATAACTATTCACTATCAGATTATTTTGTGTAGGTAATTGTGATGATCAAATTCTGCTCTGAAGATTTCAGTTTGAAATGAGTGCATTTTGTTGTAGCAATATGTATGAACAAAATAAGTGATCACAATGCGTTTGTTATTTTCCAGTAAATGCAGTGTTCGCATTCTGTTCACTGAGTATGACAGCAGCTGCATGTTCCAACCAATATGTTTTTATCATATATACAGTCAGTGGTTTCAACTTCCCCATGAATGTAGCCCTCTCTTTCAGACAGCTTGTGGATTATTGTTATGGTGGAGGCTTTTAATGGGAAGTGCAGCTTTCCACTTTGCTATTGCTTTTGTTAGTAGGCTACTTGTTGATTTATCCATAAGCCACCTATAAGCACTGTCCAGTGAAGGTATCAAAGGTATTGCATTAAAGGCAATGAAAGGGCAGAAGTCAACGATTCTATCTTAGCAGCATACATCATGCGAGCAGCTAGGTTTCAGCCTGCACTACTATAGATGGTTAAAAGGTTCAAATTTGGAAAATGCATTAATGTTAAAGAAAACTTGTATAATATTAATACAGTAAGCAGTAAACTAATATTTACTTCTTATTGCTTCTTTAATAGCGAATTCATTCAGATAATTAACATATGCAAAAAAAACTGTTTCTAATAGAACTTTCCCCAGATTCCTAATATGGATGATTCCCAACCCTAAGGATGCATGTATGCGGGAGGTTCTTGTGTGTAGTGTTTGCAGAATAGATGTTTTAATAGTATCGTTCCCATTTTGTCATGTGTTCACATGTTTTGAATATGTTACGAAGTAAACCAAGTTTAGATTTGAAGTGCTGTAGAATCATATGCGTGTTTGGAGGCAGCGTGTGACATCTTGGTGTATGGACGTTGCGCACGGCTCCTGCCATGTTTTGTCCTGCAGTATTTATAACCCAGCATAACACCAGACTCCCCCTGGGGCTGACAGTACTCATTGCCAGACAACAGCAAGGCCTGGAATGCACGGCATTTTTGGAGTTCCTTAGTGACACAACAGAAGTGCAGGGAGAGAGTGGAGCCGGGCCTTGCTTAAACTCTGCAAGCTCAGATCTCCAAGGGCGACAGCAGGAATTTCTCAGCTCTCCCCTTGTACCTCCCACCCCTGCCTTGCTGTAGGGCCTTCCTGCTGACCCTCTTTGACCCTTAGTGGACTTGCATGGCTAACCAGAGCCAGATGGGCAGCACTGACTGACCAGGCTCCTTTTACTAAGACTTTAGAGGAGCACAGGGAACAGTCTGGACAACTGTTATTTTTTCTCTGCCAACCGGTGTATCTCTCTCTTTTGCATTTTCTTCCTCAATCTTGCACATTCTCTCACACTTGCACACATCAGCACTTCAATTTCTTAGTTACACATGTTTACATTTACTTGTTTTGGAACAGGCAGGATTAAAGCAGTATTTTAGGCGTGGCTTGGTGCTGCGTTTGGTTAAGGCATGACAGAGGAAAGACTTTAATACTTTAAGACATATGGCTTCGCTAGATCAATATGCCGGATGAATCCCCCTGAAGTATCAGGTTTCTACAGCGGAATGTCACTTAGGGAGTGTGTTTGAAATTAGGCCAAGAGAAAGAATGTGTGTGTTTTTCTAATTGTGTGAGGAACTAAATCGTTATATCTGTGTGTTATTCACTGTTCATGTTTGTGTGTTTGTGTTTTAGCTCGAAGCTCAGCTGGAAGATGCTCGAGCAGAGGCTTCAAAGGAGCGGAAGCTGCGAGAACACAGTGAAGTTTACTCTAAGCAGCTGGAGAGTGAGCTGGAGACATTGAAGGTCAGGGGTCACCCCACACACCTTCTTTTTCCTTCTTTTTTTTCTGCAGCTAATCTGATATATTCTTTAATCCACTTTAATTCTTTCTCTTACTATTTTTATAGCTCTGTCTGTCTTTTCGGTTTCCCTCCTGACTTTGTATACCCATTTTTCTTCTCTTCTGCTTCCCTGTGGGCCTGTTCCACCTTTCTTCCAGCTGGCCAGCTCCTTCCACCCTGTTTCCTCCTTGAATCATCCTGCTTTTTTTACTTAGACTGTCTTCACCCCTTTTCTCCCCTCCAGATGAAGGGATATCCTGCCTGGTTATTTTTAGTTCTGTTGTTCTTGTTGTGTTGTCTGTTATTTGTGTTGGCATAGATTGAGGTGCACAGCTGGACTAAAGAGCATGGCTTTGCTGTTCACTCTGAATCAGTACCTGTCCCATTTTACCCTTATTTCCTGTCATACATTTACTTTATTTTACCTTTCACTTCCTTTTGACATCTCTTCATTTTTTTTCTGCCAATGTTGACCTTTCGCTTTTATATTATTCTCTCCTATAACCTCAATCAAGTTCTCTAACGAGTTTGTGTCTCTGGTTAAGCAGGGCAGTGGACGAGCTTCAGGTGCGAGTGCTGAGACCCAGCAAGAGCTGACAAAGGTGAAGTCAGAACTAGATAAGAAAGTGTTGTTCTATGAGGAGGAGCTGGTGAGGCGTGAGGCATGCCACAGCACTGAGCTGAAGAACCTGCGCAAAGAACTTCATGATTCTGAGAGCCAGCAGCTCTCTCTGCACAAAGAGCTGCTCATGCTTAAGGACAAGCTGGAGAAGGCCAAGAGGGAACGGTAAGTGAGGTAGAACCAGTCTGAGGGACTTCATGAATGGTAAAGCAAAAAGCATGAAGGTGCATTTAAGAATGTGCTGTCTAGCGTTTAGGTTAATGTCTTTGTGTTTTTGGGCAGGCAAACGGAGATGGACGAGGCACTGGGATCTCTGAAAGAGAAATACGAGCGCGAACGCAACCTGCTAACCGAGGAGAACCGCAAGCTAACCTCAGAAACAGACAGGGTAAGTGTTCTGCAGAAGCCACTGTGAAAGGCAATGAAAGGGATTGGGGCTCGCAAACAAATAACTGCACAAAACCATTGCTCCAAGGGTCCTTGGAGGAATCTGGTCATCATAGAGCATTGACCCTTAACCTTGGTATCCCCCCCTCCAGCTGGGCACATTTGTGGACAAACTAACAGCCCAGAACAGACAGCTGGAGGATGAGTTGCAAGACTTGGCATCTAAAAAAGAGAGCGTTGCCCACTGGGAGGCGCAGATTGCTGAGATCATTCAGTGGTGAGGAAGTCATTTACCATACATTTCTAAGGCAGCCCACCTATAATTATATCCATACCATTTCTAGAGGTACCCAAGAATGTGGTGATGAACTGCATTGCTTTGTATCTGGTTGGCCTGCAGGGTGAGTGATGAGAAGGATGCCCGTGGCTACCTACAGGCTCTGGCCTCTAAGATGACTGAGGAGTTGGAGTCACTACGTAGCTCCAGCCTGGGATCAAGACACTTGGTATGACCTCATTTCTTTCTCCTATGGTCCTTTTTGGTGACCTTGCACCCTTTTTACTTCTGCAACTTTTGCTCAGTTCAGAAGTTTTGTGTACTTCAAAAGGTACCGTGTGCTAAGTTCACTTAATGTTAACTGGGGGCGCAAGGACCATATACTCTTCCCCTCTTTCTCCGTGCCCTTTCTCTTTCCCCTTTTTTTCATGTCTTATTTGTCTTGTTGTCCCCCCTCTCTCCCCTCCCTCTTTCTCATCCCTCCTTTTTTCTTTCCAACTCCTCTGAGCCATAGCACAGTAACGATGTGGTGCTGATATAATTAAAAGCAGGCTAAGTATGTTCTCCTCAGTACCTTAAAATAGCAAATCTAATGGAAATTGATTGAAGGAAAGTGACATGTTGCTCTTCTAGGTGAGGAAGGAGGTCACATTTGATTGAATATCCTTCACTAACAAGGTTAAGGACAAATAATGGGAAGGTGCAAGCCAACAATGTTCGCAGTGAAAATACTGTCTGTTGTTGTGTATAAGCGACCCTCAGACAAGAGCTAATCCCTGAAGATGTAATTCGTTGCTTAAGCACCTAAACATTCAGTCTAAGGAACACATTTTGTTGCTTCCTTTTTCTGAAACAGGGATTTCAAACAGAAATTGTTTGTATGTTCATAAGTAGACAGTTCTTACTCCCATAGAGTTCTCTTGGACAGTATGATAGATCTGTGAAGTGCTGTTTTCTTACCTATTGCCTTAGCAAGGGTCTGGAATGAGCACCCCCACCCAGAAGTCTTTGGTGGCTTCTAGGAGCACAAAGCGGGTGAGTGCATCCATCAAGTCCTCCAGTCAGTGTGGATCGGCTCCAAAAGGAAGAGGGGGAAACAGATTGTTCTCATGGCTGTTGTTCATCTGTCCATGCTTCCTCTTGAATCTCTTGTGCAATTTTTAAAAAAGTCCTTTTCAAATTTTAAAATATATCTGTCTATTGTTTTCTTGTTCAGAGGAGTATTGAGGGGCAGATGAAAGTTTGCTTTCCATTGCTAAATAATCATGCTGTGGGATCAGTATGTGTCCTACTCATTCTCAGCAAGACTCATCAGATCAGCTGGACAGAACTGGCGTTAAATGAATGATTAGATGTCAGAAAGGACTTGCTGCAACGCTTTGTGTACCTTCTGTTGTCTATGAATAAGATTGAGGTGTTGAGTTCTGTGGTTTGAGACAGGATGAGCGTGGATTTGAGAAGGACAGTGGGAAAGTCCCTGCTCTCTGTACTGCAATGTGAGACCGATTAGCTCTGTCTATAATGCTTAAATTAAAACATTTCACCATTCACTGCTTCTCCTCAGCTGTGGAGTCATGCTGGCAGCCCCTGCTTACATATTAAATGCTCCTTTTACATCAAAGACAGATCTTTTACCTCTGCTTTTCGCTTTTTTCTCCTTCTGCAATGAAATGCTTCTGTAATAAGTGAAATCATGGTTTAGGTTAAAGACTCTAAATACTTTTGTTTTTTTTGTTTTTTTTTTTTACTAGAATTTTAGGCTTTATATTTATATGGTTATTTTCGGGTCATGGCTTGGACCTCCTCTTTTCCTGCATGTTGCTTCGTGCTTTCATTGTTCAGTTTACAACCCCTGTGTTAAATTTCTATCCAAGTACTTAGAATGCTGTGAAGCTTTCAGCTTTGTATTTAAATAAGTGAACAGTGTCTGACAGTGTTATAACAACTTTATATGGGTAAAAATAGTAGAGTAACACTGACTCTTCGGTGACCCATATAATCATGGAATTTCTTATTAGTAGATTAGAACGCGGACATCTAACCATAAAGGTGAACTGCATGATGCATAAAGTTAACTTGATCTGCATTGAATCCTGCCTGTCGTCTTGATGACCTTCCATAAACCCTCTTGTCCACCTCTTCACTCTTAAATCAGGATCCCTTGTGGAAGGTGCGTCGCAGTCAAAAGCTGGACATGTCTGCTCGTTTGGAACTGCAGTCGGCACTGGACGCTGAGATCAGAGCCAAACAGCTGGTCCAGGAGGAGCTGCGCAAGGTCAAGGCTGCCAACATCTCCTTCGAGAGGTCAGTGCTTTCAGCCTTCCCCAGATTTATGGCTTTTGAATAGCCACCCCACATTACTTAGCCTCCACTATTGGTGTGCTAATAGTAAGACCAGATGTTACAGAATCGCATTCTGCTTCTGTGAGTGGGTTACTTTAAGTAAAACAAATCACATATTAAACCACACATTTATTTGCGCATATTGATGTTCGTATTATATTAGAACATTTAATGTTAAAATGTATATGTATTTAGCAATATATTGAGATGTCTTTCTGTACTATCCATCAAAACAGGGCTAGGAATTAATATGTAAGATTTCATTCATGCAGGATTTCTAGAAACTCTGTTTTGTTAGTTCTGAATGTAGAAAAAAAATGTTTTGAAGGAAAAAAAAAACTGTTTATAAGAGTGGCCTCGAAGTTGCATTAGCCAGTGAGATCTCAGAAAACATGCATCATTTGTGAGAACGTTGACATTACAAAGAAAATGCACATTGGATTTGTCCATGAATTTGCTAGTTTGATTATAATCTTTTCAGTACTATGAGGCAATGTAGTGTGGCAGAGCTAAGTTTAACCTCTTATTCACCAGGATATATTTTGGTTTTTTCATCTGAATTTACATGCCCAAATTGTAAGGCAAATCATTCATTTCATGCAGTTAATTTACATTTTTATTTATTTATTTTTTTTGTAAAAGCTCCCCTCAAATTAACAGAAAATGTGCTTTATGATCATACACATATTGCTATATGCTTACTAATTACTGCTGAAAGCCAAAAATCTTAGACACTGTATTATTTAATAAAAATGTATTTTTTTATTATTTTCATAATTTTTTTTTTAATTAAAAAGTTCATAATGAATGGACCAATAGAAAATGATCCAGAACTACTTTGGACAAAAATTGTTTAACATTAGCATAATGTTTTTTCTTCTCCTGTAAAGATACCATTTTGTTCTGACAAGGACCGGTGGTCCCAAGGAGTTAAAAAGGTTAAAGTAACTAATCTTTAGAAAAAGCAATTAGAGTTTTGACCTTTGTATTATTACAGTGTAAGAGAAAACATGTTAGAGAAAATTTTTCCATAAATCTGAAAAATGATTGACAAGACCAAAATCAAGTCTGCTTGCTGTGTCTTGACATAAAACAACAAATGCCTCAGCATTGGTGGGGAACAAAAGGCTGGTGTCCAGCACGGTTTGGTGATATCTCTAACACACAGACTGAACCTGGCAGTTAACTGATGAGTTGTTTCAGGTGTATTTGAGGAGGCAAATCACCAGAATGTGATTTATTCTAGTTGGTCATTTTTTGTTGCATTTCTCTTTTGTCTCCAATTCATTGTTTTTTGTTTTTTTTTCTTGTAGCAAACTGAAAGATGCAGAGGCGAAAAACAGGGAGCTGGAGGAACAGTTAGAAGGCATGAAGAAAGATCTGGAAGAGAGTCGGTCACGCACTGACAGAGGTGACCATGCAGCATAAATCCTGCTGTTGTTTTTAAAACAACACTAATTATTCCAGTCATAGTAACATTAAAAATATATTAACTGTGTTATATATTTGTATTTTGTATTACGACCTGTACATTTGTGATTTATACAAGTAATGTAACAATGGGTAATGAAGAAACATGCAGAATGTTTTACCTCACTTGACAGCAGGATATTGTCACTGTTCAAACAAAACCATGTTTTTTTATATATAATTTTGATGCCAGCTGACCTTTACAGTGTGTAAAAAGTTCATGATGAATGGACCAATAGAAATGATCCAGAACTACTTGGACAAAACCCGTTTAACATTAGCATAATTTTTTTTCTTCTCCTGTAAAGATACCATATTGTTCCGACAACATAGTGCAATATATTTTGTACTGAAGCCAAATCTCCAGCTGTATTTCACTTTTGTACAGAGTAAATAATTCCTGTTATGAATTTATTTCCTCCACTGCAGGTTTAAAACTTCCAGACTTCCAGGACTCTATCTTTGAGTACTTCAACACTTCTCCCTTGGCTCATGACCTAACATTCAGAGTGAGTATTTCTCATGGCATCGTTCCATCTGCTTTTGCATTGTCCAGCCTTAACAAGCTTCTGTTCTGTTTGTCATAATAATAATAATAATAATAGTAATAGTAATAATAATATTGACCTCCAGCTACCTGGCTTTGCTGCCATTAATAAGGCATCATGTGTCTCCATAAAAAAGAAAAACTGTTTTTCAGAGTGCAAGAATGCATAACTAAATGTTTTAAAATGGGTAATGCAGAGATTGAAATGAGTAAGAATCCATTAAAGAGTAGTGACTGCTGGTTCTTGGATCAGCTGGATTACACTGTTCCGGTTCATGAGTGTAATTTCAAAGCCAACTTGTGTAAAAGTGTGTGATATGATGCTTCCTGCTCTCCTCTAATGGAATCAGTCTGGCTCCAGTTACATCCAGCTCTCAGCCATGCGATACAATAGTTACAGTCTGCACTGGAGCAGTAGCTAATCACCAAGGATCATGTCAAGGGCTTATGACAACAAAGAAGGAGCTTGCAGTTGACCATGGCTATAAAGTGACCTGTGCTATTTCCTTATACTCTAACAGTTACCTAGGAAGAGGGCCTAGACAAATGGAAATATTATGCAGGCCTAAAGCTACATTTAGTTCCCATGCTGACACTCTTGTTGCCTGATTTCAGGGCTTATGTATTCCTTTTGGATTGGTTTGGTGTAAAGTAGTCAAATTTACAGAATTTTCCACTTAGCCCAGATGTTTTGCAATTTTGCTTCTTAAGCGCTGAAGCTGCAAAGCACACAGATTTTATGTGGGTTACGGCCAGTTTGTCAGGCTGTGACTTTGAGGATGGAATTTTCTTATTAAGAAGAATCAAAAAGCAAGGGGAGTTTAGGCCAAATAAAAAGCTTTGTCACCTATAATTTTATTTTTGTCCTCCCCAAAAAAGGACTCTGTCTCTTCCTCGTCTGCATCCTCTCTGCTAGCATTTTGGGATGAAGTAAGTTGGCTGTGAAGAGCTCCCCCACCCTCCGTCACCTTTAACCCCTGTGGGAGAGGAGCCGTCAGCAGACAAAAAGCGTGTAATACCACAACATTCTTGTTAGGACCAACAAAAAGTTTTTGCTTACGATAATTGATGAGAAGAAATAGACTTTGAAGCTCTGCTCTCTTTGTCTTGAATTGTATGACAATTTTAAACATCTTAAATCATCTGTACTGAATGTATAATGTTTAAAAACTAGCGCCTGTGAAGCGGTACTGAAACATCTTTTTGTCTGCTGACTGTGTTCTCCTTCCATAATTTGCCCAGTCCCAGATCACGTCAAAGCTAATTCTAGGTGCTAAAGGTTAGCAAGCCAAAACATAGAGCGTGCTTTCAGGATTAGCAACCTCAAGTTAGCATTAACTGCCTCCTTGTACCTTCTAACCTCTTAAAAAGCTAATGTGAATCATGTCATGCCTCATTTGTTTAGACTGCATATTCATGCTGCAGGTCATGCTAGCGCTTAGAGTGGCATAGGAATAACCCCCTTAATGTGGAATGAATTGTTAACTGAGAAAAACATATGAAAAAAAAAAAGTTAATTGAATCGTGTGGGAAGATATTCTGAGAATACTGATCAGGGGTACTAAGCCAATGAAAAGGGAAATGAGTATTACAGGCAGATCCCTATCAAAACCTTGGACTGACATCTGACTAATGCTATGTGGGAAGAATCAAATTATCCAAATGACCTCTGTTGTTTGTGAGTCTTGCTATAAAGTAAATATTAGTTTCACTAGGATAATATTTATATTTATAATTAAGATGATAATTACTTTTAATCTTCACCACATATACATGCATACAGTTATATGCAATCATACAGTCTAGCAAAATTTAATTCCTTTGTTTTTTGTATTTTTTTAAATAAAAAAAAACTTTAAATATTTTCTGCCATTCTGTTAACTTGATGAGTAACTAGCACATTTAAAATGTTTGTATGGCAGCCAACTGAAACATTTATAATTGATTAAAGGTTCTTGACCACTGTATAAAGTTTAAAGTCTTATTCATCTGATCCTTCTGTCTGATGTAGTTCTAGACCTCAAGTGTCTAGATCAGATAAGATCCTACCACATAAAACTTCACGGTATTGGCAAAAAATGTTGTGCATTCATACATTGTTACTGTTGAAGCTGTTAACACTCCCACTCAGAGATTTCATAATGATTTAGAGTGTTATTGTCAGTGTGTGTGTGATTGTGTAGAAGGTTTGTTTTTAAAAGTCTTGACCCCACCTGCTGGAAGGAAATGATATTTGGCAAGAAGTTTCCCCAAGTACAGCTTTAGTCCAGCCCTGGACTAACGCCTTCACAATGGTGCACAGTGGGGAAAATCCTTTTTAGCCTAATACTAGACGTATTCGTGTCCAGTTGACTAGCCTCTTTTGATATGAAAGGGGATGTTTTTACAAACAAAACAACAAACAAAGAGCAAAGAAATAATCACTCTTAACTGATGTAAACTAGCACCTTCTTCACAAACACACAATGTACTACCTTTCACCTAAGTCTTCCTCTCCCCCTCTCCAGACTAGCTCAGTCAGTGAGGTGGAAGCCACGCCTCAGAAATCAGACGTTCCCTCTTCCTCCCCTTCAGTGGCTTCAGAGCAGGATGTGAGTGTCCACCTTATACTTCCTCTGACATTCCACCTCAGTGCTCACTTCCTGGCTCAATAACCGCTGTCTGTAATAGCAAGCCTTCCACCCTCTTGGTCACTTCATTTCACTCATTCTTGAGATGCTTGATAAAGCAGAAAGGCATAGTTTTCACGATTTCTCCTAAACCAGATGGTACTTGTGTTGTTTTTTTTTTTCTTGTTTTGAAGCAATATTTAGGATGACAGTTAATATTTGTGCTAATTTTTGCGATGTGTATGAATAATTGGCTAGTCTACTTGTGAGCTAACCACCTATTTGATCTGTAAAACATTTCTTAAAATTTCTTCTTAATTTTGTGTTGCCTGTGATTAAACAAAAAAAATCCCGATACACATCTTACCTGAACCTTAGCTGAATCCATGGAATAGTAGTGTTGCTAGTTTACATCTCGTACAGCCAGAGTGTCTGGTAATTTACATCACTCAGTGTGTCCAAGAACTACCTACTGTGACAAGAAAGGGCCACTTGACTGATGTGCAAAATAACCAATCACAGACCTTTTGCGTGATGTGTAGGAGCAGGCACTTGCTAAAACAGTGTTAGAACTAAAACAGACAAAACAGCATGTAATGACTTGCGATTACCGGGTAAAGCTGTATCTGCTTTCAACAAAAGGCAAGATTTCATGAACTGTTAACAGACTTTAAATAAACGCTTTTGCAATTCTTTGACTAGCACTCCGAAAGTACATGCTTGTGAAATTAATTGAATACTAGGTCACAGTAGTACTCTAAATGCCTCTCCCTAGTTATTCTCAGAATCCTTTTCTCATGAAGTGTTTGGGGATACTTTGTCCCTTTTTAGGAGCCAGCAAAGCCCTCTGCTACCACTCCGGCTGCCCCCTCTCCAGTCTACCAGTCCTCTCTGCTTACAGCGCCAAAGGTACAGTTGGCTACTCAGGGAATTGATGTTTTCCCTGACGTGAAGCTAAAAATATAAATATTTGATATAACTTATAGACACATTAGAGAATTTTTCAGGAAGTGTAGTTTGGCCTGTATCATATGTTTGCATGCTAGCATATTTATTAACCTCATTCTTGGTTCTTACCAGCCTTTTTGGTGTTTGTATCCACAGCCTAAAGCTCACCAGTTGAGCATTAAGACCTTCTCCAGCCCAACTCAGTGCACACACTGCACCTCTCTGATGGTGGGCCTGATCAGACAGGGCTACGCTTGTGAAGGTTGGTGCACCATACTGTATCCACAAATGCATTTCTTCTTAATAATAGAACTGACAATTACTACTCCTGCTGTGTTTTTGAAAGAGTAAATTGAAGATTTTTCATAATTTTACAAACTATTTGCAAGTTCAGATATTTTAGAGAGTGTCATTTTATTTCTTTTTTTCCCCCTCTCAGTGTGTTCCTTCATCTGTCATGTATCCTGTAAGGACAATGCTCCTCAAGTGTGCCCTATTCCACCAGAACAGGCCAAAAGGCCGCTGGGTATTGATGTGCAGAGAGGCATAGGCACAGCCTACAAAGGCTTTGTCAGGGTAAGTTTGTGATTTTAGTCTAAGACCCACTGTCATGTCTAATTCTGTGCTGTTTATTTCCACTCTTCCTCATATGCTGTTCAAATTTGGTGTATATGAGAGTTATGCTGAAGTGATATAGTGATTATCGTGTTGCTCTCTTAGATCCCAAAGCCCACTGGGGTGAAGAAAGGCTGGCAGAGAGCGTATGCTGTGGTGTGTGACTGCAAGCTTTTCCTGTATGAGGTTCCTGAAGGGAAGTCCACTCAGCCTGTTGTGGTGGCAAGCCAAGTCCTTGACCTCAGGTTTCTTTTACTTACCCTTCTAGGGCTTCTTTTGTTTGTTTATTCTTTACACACCCATACTAAAAGATGGTTCAAGATTTATTTTAAATCCTTGTGACGCTTTCTCTCTTTATGATACAGAGATGAGGACTTCTCTGTAAGCTCCGTGTTGGCATCTGATGTGATTCACGCTACACGCAAAGATGTTCCCTGCATATTTAGAGTAAGTCCTTTCAAACACAGAAGTTAGCTCTACAGAATATTAAGTCTGTTCTTTCCTGTACTGGTATTATGACTCATTATTTTTGAACCGCATAGGTAACGTCGTCCACACTGAGCTCGCCGGTGCGGGCCGTTTCTCTGCTAGTTCTGGCTGAGAGCGAGGCAGAAAAAAGGAAGTGGGTGGGCATCCTGGAGGGCCTGCAGAGCATCCTGGCCAAAAACTGCCTGAAGAACCGAGTTGTGCACGTCCTGCATGAGGCTTACGACAGCAGCCTGCCTGCCATCAAAACCACATTGTCCGCAGCCATTGTTGGTCAGTGAGCTTTTGCCTTATTTTTTTTTTTATTATTATTTTTGTATTTTGACTTTGGGAAATTTCTGGTGGTGGCTGTGATTGTGTCATTAGAAATTAAATCATGGAATCCTGTAACACCTGTGAAAACTTTGGATTGTTTTCCTTTGTTTTCAGTGATATTGGATTTTCAGTGTATAACATGTTCTTTCTTTGTATTTCTCATTGCTTCCCACATGCTGCTTTTCTCTCTCCTCTAGATCGGGAGCGAATTGCATTGGGCACAGAAGAGGGCTTGTTTGTGGTTGAGATCACCAGAGATAGTAAGAATCCTACGCCCCACATACCCCAGTGCATCTTTAAATAAATGAAACTAATAATATGATCTGTGTAATCTTGAGTTTTCTTAATATTATTTTACTTATCTGTGTTTTCTTGTTCTTTTAAGTCATTGTCCGTGCTGCCGACTGCAAGAAAGTTCACCAGATCGATCTGATCCCCAAAGAGAAGATGGTGGTCCTGCTGTGTGGTCGCAACCGCCATGTGCACCTCCACCCCTGGGGTGCGCTGGAGGGTGCTGAAGCTGCTTTTGACGTGAAACTGACTGAGACTAAAGGCTGCCAGGCTCTGACTACAGGTGTGCTGCGACCTGGGGGCCCTGCCTGCCTGCTAGCAGCCGTCAAGCGCCAAGTCCTGTGCTACGAGATCACTCGTGCTAAGCCCCACTACCGCAAGCTGTGGGAGGTGCAGGCACCGGGCGTAGTACAGTGGCTCGGTATGGTGCGGGAACGCTTGTGCGTGGGCTACCCATCAGGCTTTGCCCTGCTTGCCCTTCAGGGTGAGTCTTCACCTGTGAGCCTGGTGAGCCCTGGGGATCCATCACTGGCTTTCCTGGCCCAGCAACCTCTGGATGCGCTGCATGCCATGGAAGTGGGATCTAATGAGCTGCTTCTGTGCTTCAGTCAGCTGGGAGTCTATGTAGATGCTCAGGGACGGCGCTCCCGCACCCAGGAGCTTATGTGGCCTGCCACACCACTCGCCTGCAGTATGTACCTATATGTGTATGTGTGTGTTAGAAGATAGACATACTCAGGCATCAAGCTTAAAGTGATGGTTCGGCCAAAAATCCAATTTGCATAGTTTTCCGAGTTTTCCAGCTTTGAGTTGTTAGGTAATCTCAAACAGACTTGCATATGTGGTATTCAGAAATGGTGACTTGTAAAATCTCAGCCTGAGAAAGCACTGATTAACATACCTTGACGTGGTAAATCAGTTAAACTTTTTGTTTCCAACCTTGCATGTGTGACTTCACCTGTCATTTCAGATAACTAGCTTTTCATTATAGAAGTGCCTTCAGTCTGGACAGAATTAAACTACATGCAGTAAATGCTGTGTTTAAAGGGAAAAATGCAAAACAGCTTGGGACATCAAGTATATAGCTGAAGTTGTCTGCTAATCTAGCTGAGGTTTGTTAGAGACCACAGCCCTTTAACAGTTACTAAAGTTTCAGCTGAATTAGTTATTTAACTAGTTAGTTAGCTTATGTGCTATATAAACTACAGACCATCCAGCTCTTTCGATTTGTTTTGCCTTATTCCTTTAAAAACTGCATTTACTATGTGTAGCACTATTTCTGTCCTTCACACTGAAGCTTTATAATGAAAGGCTCATTATTTGAAGTTGTCAAAACTGACAGGTTTTCAGGCAGGGGTTACTTTTGTAAAATGCTGAAGGTCTTTAACAAAGACTGAATACTCTACTCTTATACAGTTACATGGGACTTCAGGCTTCAAGATGGCTGCTACTACAGCTACTTTTTCCTTATAAATTATGTAGTGTCAGAAACCACATATGCATTTAATTTTGACATTTCTTAACAACCCTGTTCTGTTTGAAAGTATGTGATGATGTAGCCAGTTTGCAAGATTTTAAACGACTGCTTTTTCAACTGTATTAGCCCATTTTCTCCAGAGCAAAACTAAATAAGCCAACTTCAGCCACCAGGCATGTCTGGTACATTTGGGTTGGGGGCTGAAAATTTTTTTTGACTGTAATATTGCTTTACATGAAATCACACCATAGGAAGTTCTTCTTGAATTGCATGCATATAACAAGCGCATCACATAAAACATTGACCAGGAACATTTTGTTTAGCAACCACTTTGTCACTGAATTTGTCCTCTTTCCAGGCTCAAACTCCACTTACCTAACTGTGTACAGCGACTATGGAGTCGATGTGTTTGATGTCCATACCACAGAATGGGTCCAAACCATTTCATTAAGAAAGGTAATTATAGAGAGAAAAGTAGCATTTTCAAGGCAGAGTAAACAACAATGCTGGACATAGTGTTAGCTCCTTTTTGTATTCAAAAATGTAATCCTAATATACAGAAATAATATCCTTGTCTGACTCCTGTTCACTACCTCATCAGATCAGACCTTTGAATGTGGAGGGCAGTCTAAATCTTCTGGGCTCAGAGCAGCCCCGGCTCATCTACTTCAGCAACAACTCTGCAGGTACACCTTTTTACCTTCATTCAAGCCAGCTCTATCACTTAGACCCTGTACTGTGCAGTTGTTACTTCCTCATTAACTAATCCAGACACCTTTTAAACAGTTTTTCAGGGTCTCTCAGTCTTTTTTGATGTCTTGTCACCTCTGTGAAGTAGCTATATATAAATACCTATCATAGCAGCAGTGTTCCTTGTTGACAAAAGTTACCTTAGGATGAAAAAGAATTGTTCTTTGAGCTTTTCTTATTTTGTAATAAATTGTTCTGAATAGTTTTAATAATGTTTAAGAATCTCTGTTGATTGTAGTGTTTGAATTTTGGAACTGCATGTTGAAGCAGTATTTTTTGATAATTTTTCCCCTTTCATAAATTCCCCAGTCCCACATTCTGTCAAAGCAAATTTTCTGTGCTGAAGGTTTGCAATCCAGTTTATGCTGTGTGATGTAGCTATATGCTCTATACATAAGCTAACACTCCTAATTAATTTATACTTCTAACATGCTCATGAAACACAACAATGTGCCCTCATGTGACCAGACTTTGTGGCTCCTTTAAGTTCAGATGCAGCTCATTCATTGTCACTCATATTCCTGCTGTCTGAGTAAAGACACTCAGATTTAGAAATCTGTGGCATGTTGGGCCTCACTCTGTGCCACTCTCTGTTTCCAATTCATTTCCTCTCAGCCCTGGCAGATTGCCCTGATGATAATGGCGCTTGTGTTTGGTAAACTGAAATGACCTCATTCATCACACCTCCTTCAGGCTGCCTGCCCATGACTTCATCACACACTGCCACTCTAAGCTGCCTTCACCGATAGTGCATAAACAAAAGCAAGTTTGACATGATGACCTCTAGGCCTGCACAATAAAACAATAATGACTATTACTTTTAAAAAGTCTAACATTTTTAATGTCAAAAATGCACATTCAAGGTATTTTTGCTAAATTAACATGCCATTGTGTTACACAGTTCAATTTAGCAAGAAAGGTTTGACATCTAAACAGTTGCTGCTTTGGTATACTGGGTGGCACAGACAGGAAGGGAGAAGTCTAGCCATTCACTAATAACAGCATAATCAGGTGTGATGGATGAGTAAGCTAGCTAACATTTTTAATGAGAGCTTGAGGAAAACATCTCAGAACAAGAGATGGTGGCAAAAAGCCAGTAGTGCTCTGAAATATCTTTCTCTTTTTGAGTGTTAAAACAAGTGTTGCATGTTGCGTGTTGAATTTTAAGGCCCTGTAAAAGTGCAGTATTTGCAAAATGTAGAGACGCAGCCTTGTTTTTACATTCATTGTCCATTTATAGCGGCTCCACTTACCATATAGGAGCACTTTATAGTTCTACAGTTACAGACTGTAGTCCGTCAATTGTCAGGATCACCACAGAGCAGGTTATTATTTGGGTGGTGGATCATTCTCAGCACTGCAATGACACTGACATGGTGGTGGTGTGTTAGTGTGTGTTGTGCTGGTACGAGTGGATCAGACACAGCAGTGCTGCTGGAGTTTTCAACACTGTGTCCACTCACTGTCCACTCTATTAGACACTCCTACCTTATTGGTCCACCTTGTAGATGTAAAGTCAGAGACGATAGCTCATCTGTTGTTGCACAGTTTGTGTTGGTCATCCTCTAGTCCTTCATCAGTGGTCACAGGATGCTGTTGGCTATGTGACTGCAGTGCTGAGAATGATCCACCACCCAAATCATACCTGCCCTGTGTTGCCCCATGTGGGACGTCCTGACCACTGAAGAACAGGGTGAAAGGGGGCTAACAAAGTATGCAGAGAAACAGATGAACTACAGTCTGTAATTGTAGAACTGCAAAGTGCATCTATATGATTTTTGCGTACATTTTGCAAAGGCTGCACTTTTACAGGGCCTTTAAATTCCACACTCAACATGCAACGTGTGATGTTGTTTGTATTATTACTATTATTATTTTATGTTGTATATTACTTCAAAATAAACTATTTAGGGTTCAAAATATTCAGGCTTAAAATTGAGCATTATCAGTCATTTAAAAATGATCTGTCTGAAGTGACCTCAGATTTTTCTTTTGTTCTTGCCCTGCTTTTGTCTTCCTCTGTTGTTTCTCCAGAAGGGTGTGATCTAACCATCCCTGAGACTTCAGACAACAGTAAGAAACTCATGGTGAGAACGCGCAGCAAGAGGAAGTTCCTCTTCAAGGTTCCCGAAGAGGAGCGGATACAGCAGAGGAGGTAGGAGAACTTTGCCCTCTGGTCATGTTCACACGATGACATCCTATACAACAAAGCCAATGGATGAATGTTTCGTATCTGTTTATCCAACAGGGAGATGCTGAGAGACCCAGAAATGAGATCTAAGCTGATTTCCAATCCCACTAACTTCAACCATGTGGCCCACATGGGTCCAGGAGATGGAATGCAAGTCCTCATGGACCTGCCTCTGGTAATGGCTTTATTCATCAGGCTTAGACACTAGGAGGTTAATAGCTCAAGAGACTGTTGGATGATGGTTAGGAGAACAGGACTGGATTCAGTGGCATGCGGTACTAGATCAGCACACCAACACTGATCAGTGAACAGAGGCCCAGTGACACAATAGTTATCCCACATATTATTGTTAATTTTGTCATTGTCATAAGAAAACCTCCCATCTGTGAAGCAGCATTCTTATCTTACAATCTGCTGATGTAGCTGACAAGATTTTGTTCAACACAATTATCCAGTTCGATTCATCCATTTATTATGAAATGTTTACACAATGTAAAGAGCAGCTGCTACTTTTACATAGTGCGAAAAAATGCAGTTTATAAGGTTTTCTTAGGACAATTTGTTCTTTGAAGTATCTTGGACAAGAGTTGTAGTTGATAGCCTTGCTTAGGACTTGAAGAGTCCACTGAGGCTTCTGGAGTCACCCTAAGGTTTGTGGCATTATACAACTACACAGCACTGTATCCTCACTCCTTCGCTGCTCACCTTGTCTTCTTTTTCTTATGCTGTAGTAGCTTCCACTTTTCCACCCTCCCACCCTTTTCCTCCTTCTTTCTGTTTCACTCCTTTCCTTCTCTCTTTCCCCCTGTGGTTGTGGATTTGCTCTGGTCTCTGGTTGCCGTGGCAGCAGCCGAGTGAGAGTCCTTCCCCCTCATCCTCTCGTCACCACGCCCTGATCTCTCCTCCAACCAACTTTGAGCACGTGTATCACATGAGTCCCGTCTCTGCTGGGTTCTATCTGCAGAAAGAGCCTTCCTCGCAGCAGAGCCTGCCACAGCTCTCCTCCTCTTCCTCCTCACCCTCCACCTCCTCCCTCGGAAGGGTAGGCTAGCACCCCCTTTCCCTCTCTCCATCTGTGCCTGCCTCACAGCCCCCCTTCCCTTCTTTTCCCTTTCTTTTCCCTTCTTTTTCCTGCCTTGGTCATTCGTGTTCTCTCTCTCTCTCTCTCCCCTTTTGTTTTATGCTTGAAAGCTGTAGCCTGTCTGCAGAGGCTTTGTAACCATGTTTGTTTTTTTGTTTTGTTTTTTAATTGTTCTTGAGCTGATCATTCAATAAATTGACTCTGTGAAATGGCAATCAAGTCAGGCTAGTAATAGGGGGACAGTCCCCTTCAGCTGCCCCATTCCACAACTTTCATCAGCATCTAACTTACCTTAAACAGGTCAAATATTTGCCAGACATGACCAGTCCACAGTTAGTATTGTTTCTTAGTCATGGTTGTAATAAACTTTTAACAACTCAAGTTTATGAGCTTTCTAGAACAGTTATTTTTCTGCCTCAGCACACCATCGAGTCCCCAGGACCATGATTAATAAACACTGTTTTAGCAAAGTACAATTAAAAAGTTCACAATCCTAAAAAGAACATTTAGTGTATGACTCTCTCAACTGTGGTACTTTGGCCTCCAATGTACGTACACCAATCAGGCATAACATTATGACCACCTCCTTGTTTCTACGCTCATTGTCCATTTTATCAGCTCCACTTACTATATAGGTGCACTTTGTAGTTCTACAATTACAGACTGTAGTTCATCTGTTTCTCTGCATACTTTGTTAGCCCCCTTTTATCCTGTTCTTCAGTGGTCAGGATCCCCATGGACCCTCACAGAGCAGGTAGTATTTGGGTGGTGGATCATTCTCAGCACTGCAGTAACACTGATGGGGTGGTGGTGTGTTAGTGTGTGTTGCGATGGTCTGAGTGGATCAGACACAGTCCTGACCACTGAAGAACAGGGTAAAAGGAGGCTAACAAAGTATGCAAGGAGGTGGTCATAATGTTACGCCTGATTGGTGTATATGTCCATTTGGTTGAGATGTGATTGAGCCATGGAACAGTTTGCTGTCTCAGTCACATTCGTGATTAAAAACATACTTGTGTAAGGATAAATATTAAAGCACTTGCTGGGGTTGGGCGTCCACTTTTTTTAATACATTCAAGCCTCTCTCCAGATAGTACCGTGGTATACAGTATTACATTGGTGGGCGTAAGTATTCGCTGGTTGGTTCTACATTTTTTTTTGCCTTTGTGCCATCTCCTGTGGCATTATTTCAAAACCTAAAACAATCAAATAAAAAGTTGGGTTTGCATACACAGTCACCACATAAGTGCGCAACCCATCATTCAATAACTGTCAAACTGTCAGCTAACAACAACAAATCAATGTTTAAAAAGTGCTGCTGACTAGGAGACAGGATCTGGTTAGTATTAGCCTAACTAGCATGATAACAGCTCTGCTCACCACATAAGTCTAAATCAAACTGCAGCACTACTAACACAAGTTTAGATAATAATGGCTTAAATCTGAGGGAGCAAATTCAAGCATCTGATGCTGGGAAGACAAATGTGCAACGATAACTTGGTGAGAAGGCTGCCTAGACAAACAGCGCCACACACCACAGTACAGGTCAGACAGTGCTGTCGGCTCCACCTAACTGATGCTCATGTTATAATTGGTGTTGGAGTGACAGCAGATGTGTGTGTGTGTGTGTGTGTGTGGTTGTTAGGCGTCACTGAGCCTCTAATGTACATATGTTTTACTTAGGTATTTCCTGGTCTTGATTTAGCGGCAGACAGACAGAAAAAGAAACTTAAACTGGTTTGGTATGGCCATGGGAACCATTTGGCTCTACAGTGGAAAAGAGTCCAGTGAGCCTGTAAACAGCATCTTTGAAGCAATTACAGGGTGCTGAAATTTGCGATGAGAATACGTTAAATGCAAATAAACTAGACTAATTGGCGAACACGTAGCACAACCAATCAGGGCCTTCTCACACCACCAATCTGAGAGCCCATCATCCTCTGTGTATCCCAAATGAAAATGGGTGGAATATGTATATTTGGCCATTTACTAGATAGACATGGAACAGAAATCTGATAGGTATATAAATAACCACGGTATATCTTATTACAGTTATACTGCCCAACCCTAGCATATGTTTTTTTTTTGTTTGTTTGTTTGTTTTTTTGTTTTTCTGCATGCTATCACTGAATTTGGTAAATCAGTGATAGAATCAAACTTTACATACTAGTCAGAACAGTACAGCAAGAAACAATATCGTATCTGATTTAATGTATATGGAGTTACTTTGCCACTACAAAACTTGAGTGCCTTTACAGAGCACTGGTATCAGATCAGTGCTCCATGTCTGCTGATACCCTGAATTCAAATATCAGTATGGTCTATATTGTGAGAGAAAAAGTTGGATCACTGTGTCGCTGTTTTGTCCAAAAACAAAACAGTGTGGAGAAAAAAGTGAGACGAGTTTTGAAGACGGTATGAAGACCATAAACACAAGCCTTTCACTTACTTCCTCTGTGTTTTAACTGTCTGTATTGTGTGCCCACTGCTACAGAGTGTGATGCCCTCTTCTCAGGATGATTCAATTAGGGAAAAGCCACGCCCCCTCTCTAGTATTTCACGGCAACAGAGGAGTAAGACTCACATCACACGTACTGCCTCAGGTTAGTCATGTCTCACCACTTCCTCCCACGCACACACAAATGCTTATCATGCTTGTCATTTATGTTGCCTTGATTTTGTGAGAGTGCCAGTCAGTATTAATGTTTTTCATTGGTTGCGTGTGTATTTGTAGGGGGTGGCGATTTTATTGGAGCCGGGTCATCTCGCAATATCTCAGATCCTGATCAGGACTTTGAGAGAGAGGTAAAAGTCTCTAAATGCAGTCTCTTCTCAAGGAATGTACTCAGGTGCTTTGTCAAATGGTGCTTCTATTTTATTCTGTCCTGGCTCTGTCAAGTAGGCTGTTTTAATACATGATTTCTTGCTATTGTTACAAGCTTCGATCATATGTCAACCTCAGGCACAAAAAGAGTTCCGTGTTTTTGGGTGCCCTGGTTTTGTGGTCAGCAATAACTGCCCCAGTTCTCAAAGTAAATCACAGCTGCAGTAAACCCTCAGGCTCTGCTGATCAGTCACTCACCACGGCTTTAAAAGAGGCCATTAATAAATTAAGAATATGCAGAGGGTGAACACACAAAGTTGTTTTTTTCCTCCCTTAGGCCTCATTCATATTTTGTCTGTTTACCTTTTAAAAACATAAAATTTTTACTCATCCTAAAAAAATAAAAATAAAAATATCATCCAAACAAATGTGTTTAAAAAAAGTCTCCATCCACATGAGAAAAAAGAACGACTGAATCAGAATCGCTCACATGAGCAAGTCAGCACAGTAGAGGGCGATGATACTTCATAAAAACTGATGTCATAAACCTCAAGAACAACACTGTGAGTGTCCATATTGTGCACATTATAGCGCACAGCAAAGATGAAGGCAGGGTGTTCCAAGCAGCAGGCTTTGATTTGCAGGCCTGCAGACCAGTATAATTACTTGCCTTACACAGTCTGATTTCTGCCAGACAATACAAGCTTAAAAGGCTAAAGAAAGCCTACAGCTTGCTGTCTTGGGGTTGTGTACATTGCTATGGCTACACCACTGTCTGTAACACCGTTACATAGTCTTGATCAATCAGAGAAGCTGCCACCAGGTTTTTCTAGCTTTATGGAGTTTTTTCCAAACCCGACTTTGGTTAATGATTTCCAAGTTATGTATCTTTAAAATCATTGAGGCGTTGTAATATTCACAATTGACGCCCATTTAAAAGAACTGAACATAGTTCCGACACGTCTGCACTACATTTTAATGAAAACATAAAGCAAAACTGAGCAAAATTCAGGAGGCTAAAATGTTTTCCTCCTTATTTTGATACATGTGAAAAGGCCTTAGTTTTCATAGTTGTATTTCTCACTTAGTGATCTCTTCTTGTGTTTCCCTGCAGCCTGACTCAGACTCCACCAAACACTCCACCCCGTCCAACAGCTCTAACCCCAGCAGCCCCCCAAGCCCAAACTCCCCCCATCGTAGCCAGCTCACCCTGGATGGCCTGGAGCACACCCTGGATGGCTGATAAAGAAGACTGCCCTGTTTCCACCCACCTTCACTTTGAAACACACTTTCCTTCCCACTGCTCTCCAGTCAGTTAGGACTCGCTACAAAGTGCCAAGATTCAGACTCTCATCTCCCGGTTTCATCTCTAGACACCTAAGACACCTTTACCGCCAAAACTCTTCACTCTCCAGGCTGCTTGGCTAGAGAAAAAAATCCCCTGGACAGAACTGGGAAACCGACATACAGTCGGAAAACTTCTGTGATGTGCTCCTAGTGGAGTGTGCTGCCTGGCTCATGCAAAGCGAGCCTGGATGAGAATCAAAGCTCCTGCCATGTCTGGCATCTGGATGTGTGTAAAGTCTGCCCCCTGCTGGAGCAACGGTGGTAGCATAGCTAACAGGGTCTAATCATCAGTATGTTGATTTTTGATTTATCTCAATTCCATGTCATGCTCCTGTGAGGGTTTCTTTTCTTTTTTTTTAACTCAGAAGATGAATGGGTAGCTAGCAGCTGCCAGGCAATTAAAAATGTCAGAAAATCTATGCTCACAAAAAATATCTGTAATCATGAACTGCTCTGATCGTGAAAGAGACTTTCTGTTTCGTAAAATTACACAAGTGAGGGAAAATAGACTTTCCTGTTTTTAAGTGTATAATATTTCAGTGGATATGTTCACTCATCATGTGGTGGTAGGAAGGACCTGAGGGACTCTTAATGATTCTGCAGACCAAGGACAAGGACGTAGCTGGACCAGTAATGAAAAAGTTTTTTTTGCTGTTCTTTATCAGTGACCGTTCTCTACGTAGTCTGAGTGCTGGCTCAGAGCAGTTACAAAGAGGCATTGACACTTATCAGACTGGGGATTTTAAGCCAAACAAGTGGGCACTTTTATTGTAATGTAATTCTTTTTTTTTCCCCCTCCCAGATCTGAATTTTCAGGCAGCCTTTGTAATATCATTGTTTTAACCTAGACATTTGAGACAAAACATACTTAACTGGTGGAACACTGCACATTACCACAAAGAAAAAACAAAAGAAAAAGAAACTGAACAGTAATAAGACTTTACATATAGATAAGTGTTTTAACAAGAGAAATGGCACACAGCTAAAAGACCATACTATTCATAGGATTTCAATAGTTCTTCTGAAACTGCTGCTGCTGCTTTTATGTGCTATGTAAAGAAATAACTATGTGATCAAGATTCTCACCATAGCCATGCTCAGTCCCTAGTTTATAAATTGTTGCATTAAGGAGTATCTACAGGCGGCCCTGTGCGAGTTTCTCGAACATAGACGTTATCATAAATGTGGAACGCTCATGTACGTGGTGGAATCAGAACCGCAACATGAGAGCTACAGGCATGACTGTCATATCCATTTTCTCACTAGCGTGCCTTCAGTGCCATTTTGTGTTACAGCAACTCTTTGTCCGCTAAAGCATTTCAGTTGTTTTTAACAAGACAGGCTAATGGTGATGTTTTATTATTTGTGTTCCTCTCCCCCCCCTCCCTGAAACACTGTATGAAACTTGCACATGAACATGTTTTAGTCCAAGGAAATTTCTTTTGATTTGTGTTGATGGTCTTTCTTTCCTGTTCCTATTCCCCCGTCCCCTCCACCTGACTTTTCAGCTTCCTTAAAAAAAAAATGGGACTTTATCCTCAAAACACTACTGCTTTTACTTCAGAAGAAACAAATCACACGTTGAAATCTTTGTAATTATTGAATTGTTAGCCTCATAAATTTGAACAAACAATAAAAAGAGTATCTGTCGTGTGTTTTTGTTGTCAAAACGGTGTGTGATATGGAAGTGTTGAAAGGGGCTGGATCTGCACCTGGACATTAGATAGAGAACAGGGCCCAAAACAGGGAGTTTGTTCAGTTAATTATGGTCAGATATTATCATTTATGCACAATGATTCAGGCAATGAATCAAGGTTGTGTGACTTTGTATAATCTGATGCATGTGTGCTGTATTCTTTCTTATATATACATACATACATACATAGATCTTATGTCAACATTTGTAAATATCTGCTCATCCACTCATCCAACGTTTCTTCTGAAATTAAGGGATGATTGAATATGGATCACAAACATATTAAGTGGTGCTCCATCACTTCCAAGAACACAGGTGCACTGCTCCACAGCCCAGTGCGCAGGAGTTTAATATCCCTCTCAACACTTGGCATTGGGCATGGTGACCTACACTCATATGTGGCTGCTACAGAGTGTCCCATTCTGTTAGCAAAGAATTTTCCAGGGTTGTCTGGATACACTTTAAAATACAGGACTGGGTTTCCAGTCCTGAACGAAAGAGAGAAGTTTGGCAAAAAATCTAATGTACACGGTCTTTCACTTACCCCAGATGTGGTTAATCAACAAAGACAGGTTTGGGTTCCAAATTTTGCTTCCTTAGTGTAGAACTGGAGCTACAAGGCCAACATTGCAAACAAACACTAGTACTCAATAGTCACCCAAATTGTTTCTGTGAAAATACGTCCTCAAAACTTTTCTCAGCCTGTCTAAAACCACGTGAGCTCACACAGACTTGGGCCACTGAGTTATGAAGATAGACAAAACCACTGCACAATGGGCAGACATTTCAGATACCCCCAGGGCTGGTGTTCACAAAACTGGACTAAACTTTGATCAGATCCCTTTGACTGTCAGTGACACAAATTCTGATCAGCGCTCTTGCTCCGACAAACTCTTTTCTAAAGTGGCCGCCTGCAGTTTTGTTCATGTTTATACTTTATATTAAGTCTTTCTGTGTCCTAAACCACCACTGAGAAATCTGCGCGACCTTAATAAAGACCTGAATACGGTTTGATTAGGATGTAGGATGTTTTGTCGATGTATTTTCAAAGAAACGTGACTAATGCGTTGTAGTCTTTGTTAATTATGGTATTCTTGCCGTTCCTGTTCTAAACAAGCTAAATTAATACCCCAAATATGGCTCGGCCAATCGACTACATTTAGAAAAAGTGGAAATTTTATAGTGGTAAATTAAATTCTTCGTAAATTTAGACTACAAAAGCTTTTCAAAGGCAAATCTGCACTGGCATTCAAGACTGGCTTAATCCGTCTCAGGGAAACTGACCCATGACTATTTAAACATGTTCACTGCGGGGAATCTCGAGTTCCAGATGGGCACCAAAACACAAATGTAAAAAATACTGAAATGTTGCGGAGATTTTCGAACTTTTATTTTGACAAGCGTTGAGAAGGATGGCTTACCGGAAGTGAGTGACTGACGTTTCATGGTTTTGATTTCCCTTCAATATTTCGAAGGTAAGTCGGATTTATGATTTTTGGTTATTAATATATGGCTGTCCAGGCTGCACTCAGGCGACACGTTCATTATATCGTATTTTGTCTTTGAAACACTTTAGAATATATTTCTGTGTTGTGTGAAAATAGCGAAATAAAGGCTTGTAGTGCAGGATGACAGCTCGAAGCAGCCCCACAGATCCTCAAACGCCTCTTCGGCAATATTAGAGCGCAAACTTAAAGATGGACAGATAGTAATGAACGAATAAAGAATAAGAGAATTATGAACATGAGCTATTTTGTGAAGTGAAACGCACTTTAAACCCTGTTTTCAGCAAGCTGAACCAGTCATGGTGAACAACAAGGAGGAGGCAGGCGAGTTGTTTTGTTTAGGTAAACAGCTGGTGTTACTGTATAATGTGATGCCTTGTTGTGCACATTTGCTCCCGGTGTAGATGACAAGACCCAAACCAGAAGATGATGAATACTGGAACAGCTCCAAATTCAGTGCCTTCACGTTTGACGACGAAGACGATGAATTTACAAAGGTAAGCTTAAGCAAAGCACCCTGTGCTTCAGACTCAGAGTCTAGGCCAGGGGTATTTAATTACAATTCAATAAGGTCCAGTTAAAGAAAATTTCCTCAAGCAAAGGTCCGGAACATCATAATGTCTAACTTGCATTATGATTCAGTGCCATATACTGTATATAATGAAGTAGCCTAGTAGTTGTATCAACATCTTATGCAGTCAACAACTGAATGTCAAATCAAATAAAGTACAGCTCAGTAATATTTCAACAGTATTTATTGTCAGTTTTCTGTTTTTAGAGCACACCATGTAAAATAATATGGCTCACTTTCTTCTCCGACTGCTGTGTTTTGCCTCGTCCCTCCCCTGCGTGTGCATCACTCATTCGAGTCGATTAAAATAGGACCACCCTGTCGAAATTAAATAATTTTCCATAGTTTAGCAGTTATAGGTCCAGGTCCGCATAGGAGAGCGTCTGGGTCCAGACTTAGACCGCGGTCCGCCTTTTAGTGACCTCTGGTCTAGGCAGTTAAGGATTTCTACTGTCTGTCACAAAGATCATATTTCTGAAAAAAATTGATGTAATATTAAAGCGCACAATAAAATAGTAAAAGGAAAGGTTTAATTCCTTTTTGTTTTCTCCCCCCTCCCCCTTATTCAGCTGAAAGAATCAAAACGTGCAGTGAATAGCATACTTGTTGATGAAGATGATGACGATGATGATGATGTGGAGAAGGTCAGCTGGAGTGGGGAGCCCATTGGAAGTAAGCCAGACTTCACTCGCAGTTTTCTGCTTTTATCGCAGCATACACGATATGTCCAAAAGTATTGAGAGACCCCTTCCAATCAGTGGATTGAATCATCACTTAAATGTTCCAACATCTAGTGCAAAGGTTTCCCAAAAGAGCAGAGGCTGTCACTGCAGCAAAAGAGGTGACAAACTCTCTATTATTGTCATTGAATTCAGAAGAAACATTAGATTAACAGTTGTCTACAATATTTTGGACACTTTAAGCTGGTTTCCCAGACATGCATGAAGCCTAGTCTTAGACTAAATTGCATTGTGAATCATGAATTACCACTGAAAATAATTTTTAGGTTAGGCTTAGGGGAAACTGGTCCAGATTGTGTCTTTTCCAGTTGCATTGGGCCATTACCACTGGGGCTTGTTTGTTGGATTACAGGTATCACCTGGTCTGTCAAAGAGACAGCTTCCAGCATCCGTTCAGGTGGAGAACAAAGCTTTCCAAAAATCGACACCACCCCTTCGTTGCCTAAACAGGGTTCTGGTTACTCCTTAAGTTCCTTGTTCAAAGGTAATCAGCAGGTCATATGTTGTTTTGACTTGGCAAAGGCCTACGTCTGTGTTTGTGTATTTTTTTTCTCATATTATTTATTTCCTACCTTTCAATTTTTTATCTCATTAGGAAGGAGCAAGCAATTCCAGTCTTTTTCTGAATGTAAGTGCAATGCAGACCTTTGTCATCAAGACTAAAGGAAGTGTATTCAGATGTACTGAATCTGTTACATTGAAATCTCTCTTTTTTCTAGCTTTTTCTGACACTTCTACCAGAGCATATGCGCCAGAACTGCGCAAGCCAAAGTCAGAGTGTAAGGTGTGTACCTACTGCCCAAATGTTAGTCTACTTTGTTTGGTGGGGTTGAGCTTATGTGTGTGATTTAGTCACGATTACAGTGGTGGAATGACATTAACCTGGCTGTAATGAACTGTGATTGCAGGACTATATGAGTGACTGGAGTCCTGAGGAGACAGTTCGGAGAATGCGGAAAGGAAAGGTATGGGCAGTCTAGAATAGGGCTGAGTAATATGGCCAAAAATCCTACCATAATATATCAATTCAGGACATTTGATATTGAGAGTTGATGATGATCATTATATACATTTGCAAACCCTGTAAACATATTGTTCTGAGATGTTTTCCCCCAACTATGAGTCTTTTTCATGCTGAGTAATTTCAGCAGTGAAAATAATTAGCAAAACTGGCTCACTGGTTTGTGCTGTTTCAAGTGGACGGCTACACTTCTCAATCCTGACCTTGTAATATCGCCACCTGGTGTTCTGAAGTAGCATTTTTTTGTTGTTTTTGTTTTCAAAAATAAGTATAATTTGTGCGACAAATATCAGAAAAAAAAATTATTTCTATTGTCCTTTTTTGGCTCAGACTTTGTAAAGAAAGTAAAAGTGGAATTTCAGAAAGAACATTTCCCATTCAAAGCTGCCATGATCACAGTAATACTTACATAGTCCTTTGTTATGATCTTAGTTTTCATAATTTATTTTATTTTTTGGTTGTTTATAGTGTCATTAAACCCATTAACATTTTTGTGCAGGCGTTTTCCCTGGAGAGGTTTCGTTCTCTGCAGGAAAAATTGCTGCTCCTGGACGAGGCGGTCAGCGAAAATGATGGCAATGTCATTACTGCAGTAAGCATTTCATCTCATATTTCAGTTACACCTTGCACAGATGTTACCACACTGGTAAAGAAGATGCTTGCAGGCGTTCCAGTTATCTAAAACTGGTTATGACTGACCATTGTTTAAATGTGCATTACTTTCTTTTCTCATAGGTCTTAATATATTTAAAGAAATCATTAAGTAAAGGTGAGTGGTCATTATTTATGTACTTTTTTGTACTAACCATTAAACTAAGATTCTAACATTCAACTAAATATCTAATAAATGTGATTGAATTTTAAGTTAACTTGTAAGTAATGGATTTTATTCAAGGGCCCATATCCTACATTTTTATTGTATTATACTTCTTCCTTGAGGTCCACTTATAACATTTGTGTGGTTTTATGTGCCAAAAAACATAATTTCTTTTATTATTTTTTTTTTTTTTATTTTTTTTTACTATTTTCCAATCTCTTAGAATTTAATAGGCTGTTTTGATACTGTGCCTTTTAAGAGTGGTATATATAAATGAGCTCTGTTCTGATTGACTGCCCTGTATTGCACCTCATTTAAAAAGCAGTCTTGCCTTGGTTTTACAAGATATGGGCCCTTTAAACCTAATCCTAAACCTAATAATAAACCTAACCCTAACCTTAATGTTGTCGTTTCAGGTTTGTTTATAATTTAAGCATCTGTAGCTATTCTACAGCAGACAAAATAAAGTGTAACCAAAACATCTTTTATAGTGAAGAGCATGAAAGTAAATGTGATGATAATAATGCCTTTGCAGAAATCCTCTTCCGGGAGTTAATGTTGAGAGAAATAGCTTTGCGGCATTATGTTCACTATCTGAAAGAGATGGGAGAGCAGAAGCTTTTGGTGGAGCTGATGAAGTAAGTCAGTGCTTTGGTTCTCTTTATTTCCTTGTTGATTAAGAGAGATTCATTGTAAGACCTCTCACATTTTTTTAACCTTATTTGCCTGTGCCTGTGTTTGGTTGAATTTGAATAACTGCCATTCTTTCCGTTATACTACTGTAATCAGCTCTTATCAAATGACTTTGTTTGATTGTAGGGCCCTCGGCAGAACAGAGGATATGGCGGTGAGTGATGAATACTGTGTAGCTCTTGTTTAACAACTGCCATCATAATCAAACAAGATATACTTGTGTTCTCATGTATTTTGTATATTTTTGAGCTTAGCAGAAAAGGGGAAGGGAAATAAATGTCAATGAAAATTTCTGACTTAAACTTTTCCCTAATTGTTTGCTCATAACTAACCAGTGTGGCATTGAAACATATTTATATAGCACACTGATATCACCATACATTGTCACAGGAACATAATACTGATGTTTTTTTCCCCCAAATATACTTGTGTAGTTAATGCAGTACAAGGAGCATTTGAATATTAAGGATGAAGGCCGAAGACGAGACTTCCTTAAAAACTGTCTAAGGTATAAAAAAAATAGTTCCGTATAAATCCACATAATGTAAATCACATTGGTGTAAGGGGCTTACTGTCGCTCTGTATCTTTCTGTCAGTCTCCCTTTCTCACAAGATGATGCTACTCATGTGCAAGATCACTACACACTTCTGGAGAGGCAAATCATCATAGAGGTGAGAGCTGATATTTTTGTCAGAAGCCATGGTGGAAACCAAGCAAGACTCTGACTCAGAATACTTCAAGATAGCACTGTGGTTTGTCTGTGTAACCACACTTTTGTCTGACCTCTCCCTCTAAAACTGCGATGATGTGACACGGCCGCTATTTTCTCATTCTTTCTTGTTTCTCTTTTTAACTTTTCTGTATTTCATGTTTTTCTTCTCCTTTTTTTCTCTCTAATGAGTGTAGAGGGGGTGTGGGTGGTTACATTTTGCTCCACTACTGGAAATGTGCTGTAGAACTGTCCAGGGGAGTGGAGAGGGAAATGAGAAGGGCATGACACTTGTGGGTTTCTCGAGAAATGTGGCGGGTGGTCACAACCTAAATCGCAGTACTCTTTTTTGTTGTTGTTGTTTGTTTTTTCCTTGTTCTTCTTTTTTTCAATTCAATGAAATGGACTTCAAAATTCACTCGATTTGTGTTTGTATTAAAACTTACCTTTTAAAGGTGAAATGGATTTTTAGGCACTAAATATGCTATTTACATAGCCACTGATAGTCACATCAGAAGTTCCACTTGAAGAGAAATTTAGATTTCTCAGTTCTGTCTAATATAAAATTAGCTGATACCTCATTTTGTGTTTTTGTGTTTTCTTTTCTAGGCTAATGACAAGAGGGGAGAAGCAGAGATTTTTAAGAAGTTCCCAAGAAAGGCTTCCATCTTAAACATGCCAATTATCACCACTCTGTACTACTCCTGTTTCTACCACTACGGAGAGTCTGATGTAAGCACTTTTACTGCATTTTTCACATTTCACCTTGAATTCAGTCGCAGTGTTGGAAATGGACTAAATATGGATATAATTATGTATGAAGTGTGTTGAATGTCTAAAAGTTTCTGGACACCTGCTTATCCAGCATTTATTCTGAACTTTATTTATACTGAGGGTATAAATAGAGAGTACCCATTTTGTCACACTAACAGCCTCCAATCTTCTGAGATTTTACACTAAATGTTGGGACATTTCTGTAAGGATCTGATTGAGTTCAGCCACAAGAGCATTAGTGAGGTCAGGAACAGATTTTAGATGACTAGTTCTGGATCACAGATGCCCAAAGGTATTCAGTGGTGCTCCATCACTTCAAGGAATGCAGTTCCACTGTTCTGCAGCCCAGTGCTGTGTGGCATTGGGCATGGTGACCTTAGAGTCATGTACAGTTTCTCCAGAGCATCTTATTCTAGTGTGTGTACAATCAAATGCCAATGGGTGCCCCTTAAAGAAGCTGAATTCACAAATTAAAAATGGTGTCTGGATACTTTTGGACCTACCATGTATTTGTTTATGTATCCTCAGCCATACCCTACAGAACCTTATACACAAACACTAAATCAAGTTTGTCATATGTTTTTACATGCAGGGTACTTTCAGCAGTCCAGCTAACATCAGGAAAACATTCAGGGTAAGGCATATTGCTCAAGTCCTATCAACTTGCTGGAAGCAATAGTTTTTTTTTCCTTCTTTTTAAAGTTTACTTTTGTCCTTGCATTCACTTTCAGTGAACTGTGTTGGTTTTGCTGGGAAACTATTGACACAAAGATCACAAAATGTTTTCATTGGCAGATTTCAGAAAAGCAGTACATCCTCACAGCTCTTGGAGCAAGGGCAAAGTTGAAATCCTGGTTTGATGTGGATAGTTTATTCAACACCAAGAACTGGCTGGGTTACACCAAGAAGAGATCCCCCATCGGCTTTCACAGAGTGGTGGATATCCTGCAGAAAAACAACGCCCCTGTACAGGTCCGTCTCTTTCAGTACTGAGCTTCTTTCACTAGGGGGAGCTGTGTGATGTTTAGTTGGCCATCTATCATTGTCATTGTCATCTGTCATTGATCTTATCAGTTCGTCTTTTCTATTTAAGTGAGATGTATGTGTTTTTAACGTTTACTGCTTGTGTGAATATATGATGTGGAATATATTTTAAACTATGTGAGTCTAACATGCATAGACATAGATGCATACTGCTCACAAAATATGCTCTTGTACACCAGACCAGGGTTGTTTTATCGTGTGACACAGAGATGTTCATTAATTTTTTTATTTTTCCTCAGTTGTGTTTCTACACTGACATTCTTAAAAAGGATCTTACATGATTCTTGGCATAAACATATGGTTCTAGGAAAAACCTTTGGTGTAGAACCATTACATCATGTGGAGGTTCTTTAAACGTTAAAAAGACTCTTTGCACACATCTTGTTAACAAAAATGATTGTTTAAAGAACCATGTGTTGAAAGTAGAGCTGAATGATTTTGGAAAGATAATGGGGTCTAGTCAAGATGGATGGATGGATGGATGGATGGATGGATGGATGGATGGTCCCGAAGGAAGTTTAGCAAATTATTTCTGACCAATATTGCGTTTGTGATTTAAATGCAATTATTTTCGACTTGAGACTTGAACACTGAATGACAGATTGACAGTTGATAAGCTCTGTTAGATCACATATCCCCACTTAAAGTTTGTTAACACAATGCTGAAGAATGCCAGATATAATTAAAATTGTAGCTCTTGTGATTTGAAAAATTGATTTGATTACAATATAAAAACAATGAATTGTTCAGCCCTAATTGAATAGTTCTTTACGGGGACCAAAAGTGGTTCTTCTGTGGCATCCATCTAAAAAACACTTTTTGCCACCTTTATTTTTAAGAGTGTGGATAAGCGATAGCAACAGTATACACAAATTTGGAATATAAATGTGGTTCAGATCAAATAAGGGTCTTTCATTTTAACCTGTTTTATTTATTCATTCAATCCTTTTTTTTGTTATAGTATATATTTGAGTGTCAGTGCTGCTCTCTCTCTCTCTCTCTCTCTCTCAGGTGTTGCAAGAATACATGAACCTGATTGATGACCCAGAGCTGAGGCTCAGCCTGGCTCAGAAATATAAATGTCATGACATAGTCATTGATGTGAGTTTATCTACATTATTACATTTAGGCTGACACTTTATATCATCATTCATTTTTTTCTTGTTTTCTATGAGCACATCCCAGTTTACAGAATAATGGAGCTGTTTTTGTACCAATCAGACATACAGAGACCTGAAAGACCGGCAGCAGCTGATTGTGTACCGAGGGAAAGTTGAGCGTGGCTCAAAAGAAGACAAGAAGATTGAGGAGCTCCTCGGTAACATGGTGAGAGGAACTGTGGCCCCATGAGTAACACATTCAGAAGTAATTTCCTGTCACATTTGGGAAATAGGCATGCAGACGTGCAATTGAACTGACCTCGGAGTGACACCCTTTAAAGCTCCCCCACAATATTCCACAATGGCAGCAAAATTTTAATAAACGCATGCTCATCGTGCTGTCATTCCTGTTGTTCCTTTTATTTATAGTTTCTGAAATATAGTCACTACTATCAATAGTAGTATGTACTGTATGTACAAAAGTATCAAGACACCCTTTCTTAGTAGTGAAATCAGCTACTTTAAGTTGCACCTATTGCTGACACAGGCATTCAATTGTGCACACACAGCTTGTGTTACCTCCATAGAAAAGCACTGTCAATAGAATTAGACACTCTGAAGAAGCCACACACCAGCCTAAGGTCATCATGCCTAGTGCCAAGCGTCGTCTAGAGGGGTATAAAGCCCCCCAGCATTGGGCTGTGGAGCAGTACAAATGTATTTTCTGTAGTGACGGAGTTTCACTGAATACCATTGGGATGAGTTGGAGTGGTGTTTGTGATCCAAAACTAATCGTCCAACATCGGTACCTGACCTTACCAATGCTTATGTGGCCGAATGCAACCAAATCCTGACAGCAGTGTTCCAGCATGTAGTTTAAAGCCTCTTCAGAAGAGTAGAGGCTGCTACTGCAGCAAAGAAAGACAAACTCTCTGTTAATACCCTTGATTTCAGATAAAATGTTGGATGAGCGTATATCTACTAACTTTTGGCCTCATAGTCTGTCATCCACTTTGCATTCCTCTGAATTGAAATGACTTGACAAATACTGAACTGGCTGTGGTAATATGTCATATTTCTGAATTTCAGTACAATCTGCTGACACACTTTTCTCTCCTACAGCAAATCAGATGGAAGAATTGACTCTTGTGTACCCTGCAAATTTGAGGACGACATTTCGAAAAACAGACGTTTTGAAATGAGCCTACTCGGAGGCTTCAGCTGACACATGGCCACACTCCCTAAAAGGACCTCAAAAGAAAGGCTTTCACTATGTCAATTTCACCATCTGAAACCAGCCGTGGTAACTTTGCCATGATAGTGAAGCATTGAAAAAAACGACACCTGGGTCATGGATAAAGAAACGTTTTATACTTCCTTTATTATCTTTGTCCTTATAATATTTCCATCTTCGTCTTTTAATTTATAAGCTTGTTATGACTGTAGAGCTGCCAAGTGTCCTTTTGCCAATGACAGCTGAACACTAACATGCATTTTAAGGAAAATTAAAAGTGCAATACCAGGAGCTGCTCAGCACTGCACGGATACCACTGTATTTAGTCCCCACTTACAATGCCATGTGTCTCTGTTTTGAACATTCCTGATCAAAGGCTTTTTGTATCAAAAAGGTGAAAATAAAATTATTTAATGAAAACTTATTTAAACTGACAAATCCCTGATCATGCATAGTCCAGACACTTTTTGTTTACGCTTAGCTTTGAAAGAGGAGGAAAAAAATTACAGCTTGAATAATTTCTGGACGAGTTCTACTGTAAACCAATTTGCAGCTCTTAATTCATGTTGATACTGGAAAGCTTTGTACACTATTCCTAAAGTATCCAGAACTTTTTAATTGAATTCAGTGCCTTTAATGTGCCCTCATTGCTGAGGCATTCAATTTGGCACACAGCTTGTATAAATACTCTTGATTTCAGAAGAAATGTTGGATAATCAAGTGTCTACATTTTTTTAAAAATAAAAGGCCAGTTTCCTTAACCCAGGTTAAGTCTAAGGTGAACACTGACACTGCAATTTAGTCCAAGATGTCTTAACAAAAAGGGGTTTTATATAATACCAAAAAGGTTATATGACAATAATAATAATAATATGATATAATAATGGTGGAGTTTTCAAAACTGTGATTTTTAAAAAACACAACAAAACACATTGGGTTCCAAGTATAGAGAACCATTTATGTGTTCAAGTGGTTCTTTGAGTTGTTGCGGTTCTATATACAATAGCATTAAAAAGTTCGAGATCACTGTTTTCAATGAAGAGAAAAAGAAAGTTGCACATAAATGTATGAAATTCTCTTGTGATGCTGGGTGTGTCAACAGAGCCTAGATAGGATCTGTCCACAGTGTACCACACAGCAGGAGTGTTGATTGATTAATCCTTGGTCAATTTATTCTCTCTGGAGAAACCTGGTTTTTACAACCACCCATCCTGTATTGTGATGAGCGTAGCTGTGACCACGTGACCAGACTAACTCAGCCTGTGTGAAAGCCACAGCGACAGTCTCTTCAGTCCGCAGGAGACATACGTTACTGCACTGAGGCGCGTGGTCAGTAATGAAGACTCGCTGCTTTGAAGAGAAGGTTAGCTAGCAGCGCTTTCTTCAGCACTTACAGGTAACGTTAGTTTCTTATACGTTCACTCAGTAGTGATATATTGGTACAGGATTTAGTGTAAGTGTGTTTTTGAGTACAGTTTTCACTCCCATCAGACGTCACTTACTGAAGTTGGTACTGAGGACTGTGTTGCTGAGTTGTCCTGAGACCCCTGGCCAGACGTCTTTATTCGCGATGACGTGTGAACTTAACGTTCAATTGATCGGTAACGCTTCGCAATGCGGAAAACTAGTAACAGCCTACTTCTTCTCATGTAGCATCACGTTGAATTGACATTAGTTGACGGCTGTGCTTATTTGTCTATGCTGTAAAAAGTTCCTCAACCTTTATAGGAGGTTAACGACTGTCTCAGGCGATAACATCCTAAATAAACTTGTCTTTTGGCTAAAAGGACGAGCAGGCGCTGTTGTGTCCTCTTTTGTGTAGTTTCGAATGCCTTTGTTGTCCAGAGAGTAAAATGGGTTATGATATTTGAGGTAAACAAAAGATGCTTTAATAGTTAATGAAGCCCATTCCGATGTGTAACATACTTCTCGCTTACATTTGCCTTAAATATAATCGCATATCCTCATATAGTAACGGAAGCGGTTTCTGCGTTCCTGAGACCCCACAGTTCTCAGAGGTTTTGTTTCTTTATTTATTAGTTTTTACCTCAGGCTGAGTCGAGTGGCTCTGAAAAGCCCTCGTGCGCTTGAGCGGTTCCTGTCACTCTTCTCACCCTAATGAGAGCAGACAGGTGAATAAAAAGCTCTTTTCTTGGCCCGAAATGTATCGTGTCGCTCTTAACACTGCTGAAGTGTAAGAATAAATGGACGGAGGGCATGGAAAAAAAATGAAGGCAGAGAGGGGTTTCTAGGGCTTCTGTGTGACGCAGTCATCTCCAGCTATTACTAAGAGCTTCAGATGTGCTATAAGGTCAAGTTGTCAGCCCTGCCCCAATGCTTTATTTAGAAGAAGCACTGAATGATGTGAGCAATGCTGTACTAGTGATGTACGTTAAGTGTTGCTTGGTGGTTGTCAGAAAACCACATTTTCATTTCTGAGGAAACATAGTGGAACGTCTCAGTTGCGTGGGCAGAAATAAATGTTTGGGTGGGCCTTTATATTTTCCCTTCGATAACTTGATGCATTTAAGTACCCAAACATTTATTTCTGGGGCAACATAGTGTAACTTCTCAGTGGCGTTGGGCAGAAATAAATGTTTGGTTAGGCCTTAATGTCTTACCCTTGATAACTCAATGCATTGACGTAACATTAGACGTTTATTTTGACATTTTCACAAAGCTCATCAAAAAATTCGTAATAGAAGAGAATTGTAAGTACCAATTTCATTTAAAATGACGTATTTTAAATTTGTTTTTTTGTTAGAAAGTGACACACTCTATGGAACAGAATCTCACTTTTAGATGTCCCCAGTTCTTTTATTTGAACTGCAGCTGGAGCTTCAAATTTAAACACTGGCACACTCATAATAACCTGAAGGCTTGAAGCAATGGCAGATAGCAACAGTTCTTAAGCAGCGAATGGAGGGCTGAGAAAAGAAGGTGGAGCTTGGGTTTTGCACTAGATGGAACATTGCTTTGAGAATTTGATTGCATTCAACCACATGAGCATTAGTGAGGTGCTGATGTTGGATCAAAAACACCATTCCAACTCATCCCAGTTGTACTGGATCAAACTCCATCAGTCCAGAGAATTCAGTTCAACTGATTTAATGCTGGGGAGCTGTATGGCCCCTTTATTGTATGTTGGCTGTTGACTCTTCATGAGTGAACCTCTATTTCTAATCACTGAAGTGATTTGTTAATTCTATTAGGTTGTTTCATTCTGTTTCATTTCATTCAGTTCATTCACCATCACTTCCACTTTTCAGCGGGAGATGTACTGGCATTGCTCGTAATTCGTAATTAGGTCTACCCAGTGTTTCCACCTACTGAGCTCATTTGCTGCACTAATTTATTCATTTGTAGTGCAAAGCAGCTCAGCCTGACAAAACTGTGATCGATTCAGACATGCTCCAATTGCAGTTTCCACCAGTGGAGCTCTAACTCCATTGTGGCACCTGTCACTCACTCATCTCAGACCGATGGGTAAATTAGGCCGCCTGTTTTCTTTCTTTTTCCTGCTGCTTTCCCCATCTCCGCAGAGACTAGATGAATATTTCAGCAGCTGTCTCGTTAGGCTGGAGGCGAAGGCACGGACAAGAGGAAGCTCCTCTGGCTTGAGTGGGGGGTTGTTTTGTGCTGCATCGCTGAAAGTGGGCTGGTGCGCAAGGATGCTGTGGTCTTTATTGTCACTGTCTGTCACTGATCTGGGCTGGTTAAGGGTGAACCCCTCTGTTGCATTATACTGTTTTACAGACAAGAGCCTAAATTCATGAAAAAAGGAACTGGACTTTTCGTTCTGTTCCCCTTTTTGAAGTTATAGTGAGAGTGTGTTGAAAAAATGCAGTGAAAGAAACATATTCTTCTTAAAAATGAGTGCCTTGCATTGTGAGTTTTGTTTAGCTAGTCGGCATTGTATGTGTGTGTGTGTGTGTGTGTATAACATTGGATCTCTAAAAAGGTAACTATACAGGACAAGGAAATATGTTCTTAACTTTTAATGGTAGTAAATGGAGAAATATTTTTTCCCAAGTAATCATGGACCATTTCTGTTTGTTCGTTCATCATGAAATTTTTACACAACAAAAATGGCAACTGCCTTATATATATATATATATATATATATATATATATATCATATATATATAAGGTGTGTGTGTGTGTGTGTGTGTGTGTGTGTGTATATATATATATATATATATATATATATATATATATATATATATATATATATATACATACACACACATTTAGTTTTTATTTTCTTCCAATATGTTAAACTCAGCAAATGAGCCATAATGTGCAATAAAATTGAAACATTCCATATTTTGCCATAAGTGTATACTCTGTAGAGGATGTGTTAACTTATTTTTAGCAAAACAGGTCCTTTAGATTTACAGCATTTGGAACAAAACTCGTCATCTATATGTCTTTTGAGCTAGTTTATCGAAAAAAAAAGTTTGGTAGCAGATTTTTCTTCTGTGTTCTTTAGCCATTGCATGGATTTGTTAAATTGCATCACCAGCTCACCTGATTTAATTAAAAGGTTGAATAGTCAAACTAGGCATTGATGGTTTACTATTGATAGTTACAAGCAACACTGGTCTTCCTCAAGGAGATGTTTGGAAATGGATAAACAAGCACAGTGACATAGAAAAAAATCAATACTTTTTAGATTAATGTTTTGTGTTAATGTTAAGTCTAATGTTAGTGTTTTTCTGAGCAAAAGACACAAACTGCCTAGGAAAATATCTTTTTAAAAAATAATTTTCTCTGGTGCCTACAACTTTTGCACAGTACTATATATGTATATGGGTTTTATATAGTGTTATGGATAGAAACCTATATTATGTTATTAAACAGCAGTGTAGGAGACAATGGTACAACCCCCCCCCCCTTCTGTGAAACAAGGTCCACAGCCAAGTGAAACCCACATATGAATTAAGTGGGGGAAAAATATGGGGAAAAAAGAAATAACAATCATAAGGAAAGAAAAAAAAGATTAATATAACAGTAAACAAGTACAGCAGTAAGTAGTGTGGTTGTGGTTATAGCTCACCTACATGAGCAGAAAGGTGTTTTCTCTTTAGCTGTTTTTAAAATGCTCTTTTTTTCCTTGCTTCTGTGCCTGGCTGTAGGGACCATGCATGAGCGGACTGTGACTCAGACCTCTGTGACAGTGATGAATGGAAACGTGAATCTGACCTGTACCACCCCGTACAATGAGGACCGTATTCCTCTGGTGGTGCTGTATAGTGTGGTGCTGATCGTGGGCCTGCCTGCCAACCTGGCCACCATGTACCTCACCTATCTCCAGGTGCGGCGTAAGAATGTGCTTGGTATCTACTTGCTGAGCCTGTCCATCTGCGACTTCACATACCTACTGACGCTTCCCACATGGGCCATCTATGTCAACGGGGGGCACCGCTGGCCCTGGAGCTCACTGGCATGTCAGGTGACTGGCTACGTATTCTTTACCAACATGTACATCAGCATCTTCCTGCTCTGCTGTGTCTCCATCGACCGTTACGTGGCGGTGGTCTACGCTGTGGAGTCACGGGGGCTCCGGCACCAGAGACTCGCCACTTTGGTTACTTTGACAATCTGTGTGGTTGTAGGCCTAGGCCATGCTCCTGTTTTTAACATGCCTGAGGGCAATGCTGCCATAGGAGAGCGTCACTGCTTTGAGCCAAGCCAAAGCACAGCCACCATCACAGGCTTCAACTATGCCCGCTTCTGCCTGGGCTTCTTTGCCCCACTTGCTGTGCTGATCTTCACTAACCGGGCCATCCTTGCCAACGTGCGGGCCAGCACTGGTCTACGACCCTGCCAGAAGGACAAGGTGCGCCTCCTGGCTGTAGCCGTGGTGTTGCTGTTCATGGTCTGTTTTGGTCCATACCACATCATCCTGCTAATGCGTGCAATTACCTACCACTTCCCCCACCTGCAGGAGGACTGCCACTTTGAGCGGTGCGTCTACACGCCCTACACCATCTCGCTGGGCCTGTCCACCATCAACAGCGCCATTAACCCTATCCTGTATGTGCTGTCCAGCGACAATATCCATAAGGAGATCCGGAGCTGCGTGGCTGGGTTTTGGACTCGCACTGCACTCCGCCAGCGCTCCACAGAGAGCAGCCAGCACAAGATGCAAAACTCCAAAAACTCTTCAGACATGCTTCCTATACAGGACCAGGACAAGACGAGGACTCCTACACCATGCTAGTTTTGCAAGCATTAATGACAGTATTTCACGGCACGTCAAAACATGCCTGTGTTGGAGCTGACAGGAAAGATGATGAAAATGGAAAAAATACCAAAAAGTCAAGCTTTTGCTTCAGAAGAAATTCTGCCTGGAAGTGAGTCAGATGATGAGTGGACAGTATTACTGCAATATTTGGACAATATAAGGACAATTACAGCTTTGGTTTTTTGAGGTTTTTGAGTTTGCTCATTAGCAGCTATTTCCCTAGCGTTAAGCAATGTGAACGTATCACAAGACATTGTGTTGCAATAAGCTTTTTTGAACATACCGTAGCTATCGCCAGTGTTTAATAAAACACTGACCAACTGCATGTTTCATTAAAAAGGGCTTTAGACCCAAGGGGTATAAGGATTCACTCTATTATCCGGAGACTGCAAGTTCATGTTTTTAATTACATTTCGTTTAAGTATGGCACTGTTGTTTTGCTGGAGCATTGTCTGTTCCAGCTTATTAAAATAAATTATCATGATACGAATCGTGAAAATGTCATCTAGTATCACGATATGCACTGCTATACTTGAGTCTGTTGCTGATTTCTAGCATACATACAGTTACATACACTCCTTGCAGTTTATGTCCAAAGATAGTACTAGATTGTGACTATAGGATAATTTGCAGTTGTGCACATTTATTTCAAATTAAGTTTTCAGTGTGTTTTGTCATGATTATCATAAACAGTTGAAGATGAACTGCATGCTCTCGATATCAGTGTCTCAATTTTTAGTGCTGTTTTTCTCTATGTTCTCGAAAATGCCTGAATATTCGTAAAGATTTATTTGTTTGGTAAGTTAAGCCTAATTCCCAAACAGCTTTGGGAATTTCTTTTCTCTATTTCTGAGTGTAATGTATTTTGTTTTTATGCATTTATAATCTTTTGTATAACTGTGGTTTTATGCATAAAATACATTTGTAGCAAAATGAAGTCTAAGTCTTTATTTCCATAAATAGAATAGCTTTCATTTGGACATAGTAGGCTTTTATTGTGGTCATAGATTGTGGTCATAGAAAACCTGTATTCCCACGTGTATTCAAGCATGTAACCAGTTCCAACCACTAAGACCCCCTGAGCTGAAAAAGACTGATGTGGGGATGGTATGTGTAGAAAATATGCTGAAGCAGGCCGAGGGAGAAGAAACTTCTAAAGAAGAAACATCAGGCCATGTTGGGTTGAAGCTCCTGCTGTGGAGTCTGACTGGATTAATAGAAAAATGCTAATCATTTCAGAGCTGATGTGGGGGCCAAAGGCAGAAGATAAAGCTTTCAAGGGTAGTGAAATGTGAGCTGCTTGGATATGAAATCTCAACAAGGTATTTAAAAGAGAAAACTCTTCGAGCGGTTAGGTATAAACCAACAAACATAACAAATGAAATATGAAATGACAGAATTTAATCTATGCTGTCAGAGAACTTTCTCTGTTGTATTCCAGGAGAACACAAAGAAATGGGTATTAAAATACATAAAAACACCTCCTTACTGTCAGCCATTGGAGCGATGTGACTTGTCATGCATGCAAAATGAGAATTTTTATGCTCGTTCTGACATGTGCTTTGGTGATAAGACCACAGATCCTGAATAAAACATTATGAATCAATGAAAAGAAGAAAAAAAAACAGTTTTCAGTTTTATTTTAACTGATGTGTATCACGTCTGACCACTTTACATTCAGTGTGGATAATGTACTGAGCTAATTTATGCTCAAAACTATATTTGTTTACAGTAAACATATGTTACAGTCCCAAGTATTACTGAGAAAAGCATCTTTTATGTGTTTTATTACCCAGTTGAAACCAGTCTCCCTCTTTGGGCCAAAATTTACCTTTGTTTACAAACAATGTACATTACAAAGCAATAACAACGTTTACTGTTAGTTCATGTATTCAACCCTTTATCTGTGAATTTTATCAGGCCAAATGCTTTAGATTTGTGAGAGTCATAGCAGGACGGTCACTTTATTGTTCTAAACCCCCATCTAAGAAGGCTTTTCATGAATATGAAATTTCAGCTGACAATTGATTGACATTTAAATAATTACGATTAATGATTTAACTGTCTTTTTCTTTACTGTATGCATCTGATGTTCCAGCCTAAATTGCCAAACTGGCTGGTTAGATACAGACGAATGCAAAAATTCTGGCTCCCCTGGTCAAATTACATGTTGTGTTGATTTTCTAGGTGAAAATAAGTTAACACATCCTCAACAGAGAACAAAGTTCAGCACATTTTATTGCACAATTACTGTTTATTTTCTGAATTTAGTATATTGGAAAAAACAACATAAACTGTGGCATGTGCAAAAATTGCAAACTTTCTAATATGTTAATAAATAGTGAATAAATACAACCCTATTTCCAAAAATGTTGGGACGCTGTGCAAAATGTAAAAAAACAAAAACAAAATGCAATGATATTTAATCATTTAAACCCTATATTTCAGTGAAATTAGTACAAAGTCAACATATCAAATGTTGAAACTGAGAAATGTTATTGTTTTTTTTTTTAATATTTGCCCATTTTGAATTTGATGCCAACACCTTCCAAAAACGTTGGGACAGAGGCAACAAAAGGCTGCTAAAGTTGTGTAATGCTAAAAAAACACCTGGTGGTTGATTGACAACAGGTCAGTAACATGATTGGGTATGCTTTTCATCATCTACGGTACATAATATCATTAAAAGATTCAGAGAATCTGGAGAAAACTCTGTATGCAAGGGACAAGGCGAAAAACCAGTATTGGCTGGCCATGATCTTTGGGAGCCTCAGGCGGCACTGCATTAAAAAAAGACATGATACTATAGTGGAAATCACTGCATGGGCTCAGAAACACTTCTGAAAACCACTGTCTGTGAACACAGTTTGTTGCTGCATCCACAAATGCAAGTTAAAACTCTAAAATGAAAAGAAGAAACTGTACATAAACAGAATCCAGAAACTCCACCACCTTCTCTGGGCCCAAGCTCATTTAAAATGGACTGAGGGGAAGTGGAAAAGTGTCCTGTGGTCCAACAAATCAACATTCAAAATTCTTTTTGGAAATCATGGACACTGTGTCCTTTGGGCTAAAGACGACTCAGCTTGTTTTCAGTGCACAGTTCAAAAGCCAGTATTCATGATGGTATAGGGGATACACATTGGTGAAGGCACCAATAATGCTGAACGATATATACATGTTTTGGCAACATATGCTGCCATCCAGATGATTTTCAGGGGAGGCCTTGATTATTTCAGCAAGACAATGTCAAACCACATTTTGCATGTATTACAACAGCATTGCTCCGTATTAAAAGAGTCTGGGTGCTAAACTAACCTACCTGCAGTGCAGACACATCACCCACTGATAACATTTGGCCATTATGAAATGAAAAATACGATAAATGAGCCCTTTAAATGTTGAGCAGCTGAAATCCTATATCAAACAAGAATGAGAAAACATTTCACTTTCAAAACTACAGCAGTGTCTCCTTAGTTCCCAAACACTTACAGAGTGTTGTTAAAAGAAGAGGTGATGAAACACAGTGGTAAACATGCCCCCGTCCCAACTTTTTTGGAACGTGTTGTTGTCATCAAATTCAAAATGAGCAAAAACAATAACGTTTCTCAGTTTCAACATCTGATATATTGTCTTTGTAATATTTTCCTTTAAAAATATGGTTTACATATTTAATTGCATCCTATTTTTATTTACATTCCGCACAGCGTCCCAACTTTTTTGGAAATGGGGTTGTAGAAATTGTGCACTAAAATTAGCAGAAAAATGTTTTAAAGTTTGCTCCCTGTAGAGGATGTTAACTCATTTTCACTTAGATATTTAACAAAACATGTAATCTGACCTGGAGTGTTCAAACCTCTGCATACTGTATATTGTTTCCTCGCTGTAAAAAACTATTAAATAGTATGCAAATATTACATACTGTTACACATTGATCATCTGCAGATGTCACTTGTGCAGGAGAAAGTTTTACACCCCATTTTTATTTCTCATTTATACCTTAACCACAAACAACTGGTTTCATTCTTAGCTTCCTTCCAAGGCTTTATCAGATTCAAAACATATGTTCACTCAGTGTTAGACCTGAAAAGTCTATTTAATTTATTTATTTATTTTTTATCTTCATCAGCAATCAGGCCTAGAACTTATTTTGTCTGTGAATAAAAAAAGACACAAAGAAAAAAAATTCCCTTGTAAGATAAGAAATTAAGGAAGTGGAGATGGAATAAGAACAAAGTCAACACCACGTGACATGAACTGTTGTTGACACACTCAGAAATCTCTCAAGCAGAACTTTATAGACTGGATTGACGCATAGTCATCTGCTGTGTCTGCCCTGCTCCTCTACTGTAAACCTCCTGAATAATTAATCATGGAGCAAAGCTCTGCCCTGCAACCAATCGTTAAGAGAGCAGAAACTGTCCACAGCCAATAGGAAACTTTTCCTGCATGTGCCCACCCCTGTCGTAGAGGTGCAGGCAGACGGACACTGTCTGGACGTTCTAATGGCAGCCCTGTCTGACGCCTGACAGTTGACCAGAGCCTTAGCTCAGTTGGTGGTCGTTAGCACATTATACACCTGACTTCACTCACCCTGTCTCCAGGCAGGACAGTAGGGGTGGGGAGGTGGGAGGTGGAGGGTTGTGGAGAAGACAGTGGGGGGACTATGGATGCCTGTACACTCTTTTTGTGAAGGATATCCAGCTAAGAATGCAAATATCTTTCTTAGAAGTTTTAAAAGGAGAATTGAACACAATCCATACTGATTGAATTCAGTCAGATTACAGGGACAATGTATTAACACCAGCCCAAATACTAATATAAACAAATGAAATAATGGGTTTGTGTCTGAGCTTGTACATGAAGATATTTGTCCATTTACCTTGTCATACTCTAAACTGGACTATAGTTAGCATACTACTGTATGAATAATAGTGCTGTTAATATAGCAATATAGTATATAACTATAGTAATGAAGGAAGTAATTAGCTTTTTTGTAGCATTGGGGTTCAATTTTGGCCCATTCCTCTTCGCAAATCAATCCCCAAGAGTCCCTCTGATGGACTTGCCATTCCAAAATCCCCAATAAATTTTTAGTGGGAGTTATTTTGGCCCTGCGTTTGGAATTTTGGCTGTCTGTTTGGGATTGCTGTCTTGTTTAAACATCCA